GAAATTTAAACCTCAGCAGTGTTATAAACTCATTAAAACCTTATTACAGACTGAAAATGAGGGTAAGTTGGGCTTTGAGCTGTGGCCACGATTTGCCGATTTTGCTCGATTTTTCTGTGCATTCGCTCTTAAAGGGAACCTCCACTCTTACTACAGAATAAGTTTAAATTGAATAAAATTATGTTGATAAACAAATTTGTTCGAAATTTGTCTTAAAAAAAGTGTTTATATCAGGAAAAGTGAATTTTAAAATCGCTTATTTTCACTTTCAAATTTCGCGGGCGCCGCCATCTTGACTAATTGTGACGTGTAATGGTTGCTCTGTTGTTCTGACACAAAGAGCTTTTGTTTAATAACAATAGGGCAACCATTACACGTCACAATTATTCAAGATGGCGACGCCCGCAAAATTTGAAAACAAAAATAGGCGAATCTAAAAGTTATTTCTTTCGGATACAAACGCTTTCTTTAAAAATATTTTAGATTGACTTGACTGTAACATTTATTTCCTGTGATTTAAAGTTATCTTTTTGTTGAAGTGGAGGTTCCCTTTAAGGTGCGTTTGATATGACTCATCGATTCCTGTTCTGTTGTGGATACTTGCTTTGTTTAGCCTATTTTTTTCTGTATCTTGTTTTGAACTCAATAAAAAGCTTAATTTCTTATCGTATTCTCAGTACAAAAAATTCACTTTAAAGTAAATATGTCAACAAGATTTAAGGATAAAACAGTGACACATCCAGTCCTACAATGTATATACATGAAACTTTCAGCCCCCTCCTCATAAAAAAAAAACAACAACAACAACCAACAAAAAACAACAACAAAAGCGATCACACGAGCCTGAAAAGGTGTCTTACTCGATAATCAATACGTTTTTTGGAATTTATGAACCTGATTGAGCCGTTAATTGCAAGGAGCTTACCATAAATTTGCCATGAATTTCCCAATGACGTGAGTTAGCTACAACTACCAGAATTCGCCCCATGTAAGAGAATCCGGAATCCGGAATCCTGGATGTGAATTTACTTCTGGAATCCGGATTCCTGATTTTTGGAATCTGGAATACAGCTTAAGGAATCCGGAATCCCACTAATGATTGCAATCCAGAATCCAATTTCTACTCACAAATATTGAAATCCGGTACCTGGTATCCGGAATCCACAGCGTGGAATCCAGAATCCAAGACTGTCTTGGATTCTTTCACATGGGACGACAGAATTCATTTCGTGCCTTCTTCTCATTGAAATTTATCATTCCATCTTAGGATAACAACCCTGATTTACACATGAAAACAACAAACTGAAGGATTCTGGCACTTGTATATCAGGGCTCGAAATAATTACCGGAAAATCTCCGGACACGATGACCTGCCAAATTCATCTTAGCTCGATCACGTATCGTTTCTGGCAGGTCAAATTTATAGGATGAATAAATCTTAAAACAGGGGCCCATTAAACAAAACTGGCGTTATATATTTCCATAAAAAAAGTCCTTGCTTACAGCTCATAGCACTTTAAAGCACTCATTGTCAACAATAAAAATAAATTATCGTACGCATTAAATTTGTTCGGTGCCTCCAAATATAATTTCTGGTGTAGGTATCACGGCGTGAGATCTTGGTCCTAAAACACCGTCAGTAATCCATGATATTCCCCATTACCAGGGAAGAAAATTTCAAGTCATCGAGAAAATTAACTAATAAAAGTGAAAATATTTCTACTTTTGTGACTGAAAGTGCATGAACCCGATGTCTGTTTCAATGTGCGAATTGTAAACAACGGTTCAAGTTGCATTTCAGGCAGGATTTCAGATCAAAGTTCCGCAATACACAGCGACTCGCTACATACTGATTTCAACTGACACAACTTAACAGCTTGGAAATTTTAAATTATTTCTTCGGGGGATAAAGCATTCGCGATGCTCAGGAATGTATCAAAGTTGACGTTTTTGGGACGAGATTGGGCACGCGAAGTCTGTAAGTTTTCGGTTTTATTCGGCTATTTGACGAAGTGAGAGCCGAATTAGTTCGAGATATCTCGAGATCACTTCCGTGGGGGGCTTATATTGGGAGAGGCGATTTAACAGAGCTCCATACCTAAGAAAATTTAGTAAACTATCCATCCGAGAAAATTTGGTTATGACGTTACCGTAGGTCCGTACGTCCGTACGCACTCTCCGGGTAGAGTTACGTAGAAACGAATTCCTCTCTCCCTTGGAGCGTTTTGTCTCCTGTTGTTTCAAAAGGTTTTGGAAATGATTGGCCAATCAGGGTCTATCTACTGAGCAAATGTTTAGTGGATTTTGGCCGCCGACGATTTGACTTAAAAGTATCCAGCAGACTGATTTCGAGGGGAGAAAGCTTGCAAGGAAATACCTGGGGATAATAATATCCGGGATCCTTCACTGAAAAACAAATATCGCTCATGACGAAAAAAAATCTTACACCGTTATATGTCAGGGAAACAAATTTCTAACTTCAGAGGTTGGGAAAAAAGTCTTACCCAAACTGATCTCCCCCTCCGCCTCAAAAGTCAAATGGTCAACCACATAGGGGGTGGGGAAAAAGAGGATTTGACACCTTAGTAGATGTCACCCGTCAACAAAATGGCTGGCGCGCGTTCATCATGTGGTGGTTTTCAAGACTAAAGTTTTGCGTTTTACGATTGAAGTTCATGTTTCTTTGCTGGATATTTTTCTCTTAATCATTTAGCCCCTCCCTCTTAAGGTGGCCGAAGGTTCCCTATCTCTTTTTTTGTTGTTGTTGTTTTGGCTTAGAGTTCATGTTATTGGTTTAAATTTGATTGCTTTTATCATTAGTGTAGAAACGGAGGCTTTGCTTTTAGCCCAACAACAAAAACAACAAAAACTACAACAAAAAAAAAAAAAAAAACGAGGGTTTATTAACGCGTTTTTTTACGTTGTCAGTTTTTGAGGTAGACAGTCTGTGATGACAAATAAGGTACCCTTACTAGCGCTGTCGTCTCCAGGACCCCCATCCCTCATTTCAAGGTATAGCCATTATTACCCTGCGAATTACAGGGCATCGTGTCAAAAGTACATGAAAAACAGAGACTAGAAAGTATTTTTTTTTTACATTTCATCAGTACTGAGCAGTTTATTTGTAAAAACTACACGGTCCTACACTTAAACTACGCGACATAAGTTACATTATTACTATTTTTTTTGCGAAGAGGAGTTTATGAGAAATATTTTACCCCGAAGTCTTCGAGAGTTCGGTCACATTTCAGTTTCCTTCATTTTACCGCTTATACTAAAATTTCAATTAAGGTCATTTCCATTCGTCTAAAACTTTCTATTATCCGAAGTTAGTTTAAACAGTCAATTTCTATTTATTAATTGCGAAACTCATTTATTGTCTTAACTAGGTATTCTCATAGAACGTAACAGAAAAAATAACCAGGAGTTTCAATTTTTAAGTGGGTGCTGGAGTCAGACCTGGAACGGACAACACCAGTACATGTTTGAAAATAAAAAAGTGAAGAAAATGAAAATAACCCCTGAGGACTGGACGGGCAAGTCTTTAAAATAAAAGAAAAGTATGTTATTTCCGTGAATTTGTGATGTATAAAAGGGGAAAGCTCTTCGAGTAAAGCAGATGATAAACGAGACCTGAGTTTTTACTAATTTCTCGTTTACATTTTTTTAGTTTTCTTTATTTGCCAATGGAATTAATTTCACTGAGGTCACTAACGATTAAATGATGAATCCTGAGGGAGGCAAGATATTTGTATGTGTTTGGCTGCTCTACTTTCAACAATTTTTGCCGATTTGTGAATGGCGGTGAGAAGATATCGATTCATAGGACCCGAAAGTAGCCTGCGTTTTGCAGGCGCTTGCCAACGCGACAGTCAACTAATTTTACAGTTGATGGTTGGCCAGGAGTTACGAAGCTTCGCATCGTGAGTCCATATAGTGCCAAGGCTTTCTTTCGCCTCAACGGAAAAATTTGACTCGTGGTCAAATTATCAGCTAAATTAGAAAAATGGAAGCGATTTGGATCATTCCTCATTAGCCTTAAGATATGAGCGAAAACACATGTTTTGCCGGCATACTTACTAGTTTAGTATACCGTATAGGCTTTGTTGGGCATCTGTTCTTAAAATGCGATCAAATGCGTTAGAGTTTGGTTTTTTACCGTAAAAACACGAGTCATTCTTCTGAAAATAGCTTTGAATTTGTGTTTAATGGGGCTTGATCAACTTAAATAGGGCGTGTTGGCGGAAGTTCTAGGGGAAAGGCTTTAAATAATATATTATCATCCTATTTGTGGTATGTTCCCGTAGAACTAACAATGTTACCCGGCGCGTAGGAGGTCTTTAGTTCGATTCCGGGCGGAACCGTCTCCTTTTTCCCTTCGTTTCTTTTCGTTTAGTATTTTTTAGTTATTGCAGTTTTGTTTTGTTTCTTTAGATAAAGCCAGAGTTGTTTCTACAGTTATAAGTTTTTTTCCCTAATGCCTTATTTCCCTTTCTTCCTACTTGTTGCCGTTTCCTGGAAGTGCTCTGCGAGGTCCTGCGATTCAGGTATTTATAGTCTACATGCACCCTGGAAATTTATTAGAAATCTTTCGATCTCGTCCACGTGCGTTTTACGTGTGTTGTCATCGCACAAGAGTGAATACCCTGGATAATAGGAAAGCCAATCGACAGTACTGCGCATCTTCTAACCTTACATCCAACAAGTTTTCAAATTGGCTTTTTCTCGCTATTGTAGAGAAGAGTTTGGGGGCTCGCACAAGGCTCGCCAGCAATAAATAAATAAATGAATGAATAAATAAATAAAAAATAAAAGAAACAAGCACTGCAAAAAATACACACATACACAAAATAAATAACAAACAAAACCGAATCAACATAACTGCGACAAGTCTTTTACGTTTTTGGTAAGGAAATGTTTCATTCGTGTCAGTCCAGCGATTGAACCCCATTGGAGTCATTGAAAACTTCCACATAATGCCGCTGTCAACAAAAACTCTCTTAACCTGAAATAAGATTCCACTGTGAACGCTTTGGCACGTAATTCTTCTTCCTGGGGTCATAGTCAGAAAAAAAGTCTTTGTAATAATAGTCATTATTTCCGGTCTTTCCACTACTCGTCGCTGGAAAAAGTCGATAGGGAACCATCTCATTCAAATGATACCTCTCACTATCTCGTCCATATTCCCAGTTATAAGGTCTTCTTTTCTCAGAAAACTTTCCTAAAATTTCCGCCTGCTTTACAGTAGACGAAGCCTGTGGTTGCCTTGATCGATTGATGATGGCAGCACCCCAAGAATTGCCGGCAAAAAAGCTCAGTTTGTCATCTTGAGGACCACGCTCATAAAGTCGTCCAGCTCCTAAGATGTTCAGGTTTCTATTTCTGTAGTTTACGTTATTGTACTGCGTACTGCTCTTATAACTTCCACGCTTCTTGTCAGGACCAAAACTGCTCGACGTTATTCTGAGAGCACCCCTCATGGGAGGAGAATTAGCCAGATTGTTGGTGTTATAGACTGAATTTTTTGAAACGCGCCCTAGCGCTGGGTTTTGTTGGAAGTTGTAATTGTTTTCGTTTTGGACTTCATCTGTTACGGTCTGCTTTGATTGTTGTTGTATTGGGTGAAACCTTGAAAGTAATTTAACATTATCTTTTATTGGGTCGGTTGAGAGCTGTTTTCGAGAGCTATCCAGTGGTGGCTGAAACTTTGCGGATTTATTTGCGAAATAATTAAATTTTCTCTCCTGCACCTTTTGCAACGGCGAGTTGGTCTTGTGCTGGGCTAATTCTGAACGGGAAAATGCCAAAATATTTCTGCAGTATAACTGGTTGAACTTGCCCTTTGCAATGTTTTTGAAAACGTCATCGTCAATTCTTGGTTTGTAGCGTGCCACAATGTACGTGTAAGGTTTGCCGTTCTTTATGGTATTCGCCTTTCCAATGCCTAGTTCTTTGGTATTTTTCCAGATAACTTGTATAAAATGAATGGCTAGCGGTTCATAGCCTCCTTTTGCCCAGTCATAAAAGCACACTTCGTTATACCTACATGGTTAGAAAACACAAAAATTTGTTGGTCTCAACTGTGACTTGATAGGAAAGATTTCCACGTTTAATCCCCAATATACAACAACAGCAACAACAAAATTTTATTTCAAGTAAAAATAACGTAAATTTAAGAGAAAACGTTTTAATTTGTCAACCGATAGTACGTAAAAGAGGTGCGTGTTGTTGTTGTTTTTGTCATCTGCGCTAGCTCTGCTGGCCATCATGCCTTGGCGTGTGGAAATCATTCTTCGCAAAGTTGTTTCCCTCCAAAATAATTTTTTGGCGAATTAATAGTTTTTCGGCACCTCAATATAGATTTAACAATCTTTTTAAATGTTATCTTAAGCGACTTGAATGAACTTACACTCAGTTTCAAGATAAAAATGTAACTGTGAGGTAAAAAAATGTGGTCAAGTAGACGCATACCATTACTTTGAGCGCGCGCTACAATAATAAATTTTTACGTTATTTACAGCATTGATCTCGTCGATAATGTTATAAAACAATTAGTTTATGCTTCCGCTGTGCGTATTTGGAGATATTGAGCACTTGGGAAGTTTGGAGAGCACTCTAGAGGCTAGAGTTACTCTCGGCTGCCCCTCGAACAACTCTTACTCCTCTTTCGTGCTCTCCAAACTTCCCCCGTGCTCATTATCTCGACATACGCACGCTGAGCTTGACTTATCTACTGTGGGAATGAGATAGCAGCTTTTTGAAGGGCTAAAAGCAAATCGTACCTAAATTTAGATCTTTCAAAGTTAAGTACGTCTCTATTGAAATCACCCATAACATATAATACTTACCTACTTGGAAATCATTCTTAGATTTAGGTTACGTGGCTAAAAATGCAAATTCAATGATTTGCATTATTGAACTTGATTAAATATTAGTGCGAAAAACCTATAAACTCTTAAAAAATCTCCCAAAAATTAGTGTTGTGTGTTCAATACCGACAGCATTGAAAATGAATTATTCATTCATATATTTATTTGACGAAAAAGATCAAAAAGTGAGCTACCCGAGAAAAAACTCCGCAGAAAAGACAAGAACCAATTTTGAACAACCTTAACTCACACGGTCGCGTCGCCCCCAGATTACAAAGCTAGGTCTTGATAATTGAAGGCAATATTTTTTCCTATAATGCGCCATCCACCTATCTTTAATGAAAGGTCTTTTTCTTCAATGATTTATTTGTTCCTTACCAGTTTTTAACCGCACCATAAGCAGTTAATCCTCCAGCACGACTACCTCCTGCAGCGATGTTTTCGCCCTCATTTTCTTTTGTAAGGACGAACTGATCTTCGTGTTTCATGGGAAGGTTTTTGGCACCGTTTAGAGCAAGTTTCCTTGCAAATTGCTCAGCTTCTTTGCTCATATTTAGATTGAGCCTTAGCGGCAGTGCATCGTGAATCAGACGAAATTTGTTGTGGTAGTCCAAAGCTGACTTGGCGAAATCTTCACCTGACAATAGTAACAAAGATTGAATAAGCAGGTCAGAGGGGCCAATTTCCCACAACTTAACCGGTAACTGTTCCTTTGTCGTTTAATACCAAATGGAAGAAATTATGTCTCCACGTTGCATCTTGGTAATGGCAAGAATTGCATAGCTTGAATTGAATTGAAAACTTGTTTTTTAATATAAAAAGCAGAGTCAACGCTTTAATTTTTCTTTTTCTTAATTAATATTCCGTAAAGGGAAGCAAACTCTAACTAAAGCAGAAGTACACGTTAACTTTACGCATTTTTTTACAGAAGAGTTTGTGAAGATATTATTTCAATAATAAAGTAAGTATAAAAAGTTTTCAGGATACCAAAAAGTGGTAATAAAATCAACAATGAGACGAAAACCTACTCAGCAAGTAGGGCTTTCCACAAGTTTGCTCGAGATTTCCCAAAAAAGTTTCCAGTAATTTCTCAAAAAGTTGCTCAAAAATTGCTCAAAAAAAGTCAAACGTTTGCAGTGAATGCTGATATTTTTTAGGTCGTGTACTCACAACACGAAACACTCGTCACTTCCCTGCTACATTTTAGTAAATTTAAACGTTTTTCTGTTTGAATTATGATATTAATGAAATGTTTAGCGCCAACGCTATGTGACCATCCAGTTAAGGATGCACTAGACAAGTTTTCTACTTGTTTCTAAGAAATCCAAAACCTAGAAATGCTTTTGCCTATCGTTTCGAGCAATTTTTATCAATGCTTCGTTCGTGCCTTCCTAACGTTTACCCAGAATTCGATAGCTAAACGCTGCATTTTAAGAATTCTTGATTAAATAGATTCAGAATCAGTTTTAAGGGCAAACGCCAATGGTCATACAATGTTATACAGATTACATCATACCACCACAAGCAATGCAATACAATACAATACAATGCAACGCAACGCAATTCTATTCAAAGCAATACAATATATTGACGACTCCCTGATGGGATTAGTGCAAAGCTCAGCTTTGCAAACTGTCCATTTTTTATCACTATTCTAGTTAATATTTTACCGGTTTGAATGTCTCCGAAGACAGGACTGCTGGTAATCACGGTTGCCTGTTTAACGGTGGTTTCTTCTTTCCTTTTCAGTGATACTATCGACTCATTCGTGACCAACACCGGTCGTAACACTTGCGACGCATTGGTTTGGTCATTTATCAGCTCAAAGTGTACATCCATAAGGGTCCGATCTTTGTCAACTCGTCCAAATCCTTCAATTCTTATGTTACCTAAGGTTAAAGTTCCCGTAATGTATTAATTAGTATTGATTTAGTAGAGGATCAATTTTAACGAAGCCTATCCGCTAGTTTTTTCGTATTGCTTATAATACACCCTTTTGCAGAGCCGTTCTTTTTATTTTCTCCCGGGTAACACAGTCATCATTGTACAATTTGCATCAATGCTCAAACGTGTTTTGAGGGTGTGGGCAAACCCGTTTGACAATGCAAAACTGGTGAACTCATATTTTTTCTTATAAACTCTGTGCAAATTTGGTAAGAGGGGTAAGATATTCTCTATAAATAAAAAGTGTAAAGTTGAATGCACGGTTGAAATGCTACTAAAAGAGTACAATTAAATGATAATTGTGTGGCTGCAAGTTTTAGAAAACGTTTACATAAAGAAAATAATAAATAAAAACAAATAACGAAATAATAATAATAATAATAATAATAATAAAACAAAAAATAAAATAATAATAATAATAATAAATGCGGAAATGGTACGGGATACGGATCTGCGAACAAAAGGTTAGGGGAATCCCTCAGGCGTTGATGAGAATGAGTTCCCGTGAACTTTTGCATCAAATTCATTGAAGAGTTATTGATCGCATCTGAACCGCAATGAATGTATTTGGGAAATCGTTATTGACACAGTGATTGTATCTTATATGATTTATATAATTCTTAATGTTATGTAGTGCTTAATTCTTACTTCAAATATTTCTGTAAATTATGTGCATATTTTAAAAATTTGAAAAAAATTATAATAATAATAATAATTATTATTATTATTACCTCTACTATTATTACTTTGACATCGAAAGAGGACTTATGCGACGCTTGATTTTGATTTAGAGAAAAAAATAGTGAATATTTAGCAATTATTCCATTAGGGCGCGTTGGATATGAGATGATAGATAGCCAACGAGTAATTGTTTTATTAAAAACGCCCACAAAATCTCGTTGAATCGCCCCGACTAGAACAAACCGGAAAAGACAAGGGACTTCCGCTATTGACATGTCACACGTCTATCAAAACTGTCAACGCGCGAACCGGGCTCGCCTAGACTGCATGAATGAAAAAATCAAAACATTGTGCGATGAACATTAGTTTTTTAAAAACTCATCGTGATTCTAGGATTTTACACAGCAGAACAGCTTAAAAAACCTGGCAGATAATGTGAAGGGAAAGAATTTTTAAGTGACAGCCGTCGAAATTACTATGAATTTGGATTTTCGGTTCAGTTATAAAAGTAAGAACAACGGAGAAAAACTACCGGTATTACCTCGGTCGCTTGTTATGAAGTTGTTTGAAGCCACAAGCTGGTTTTGCTGAACGAGAAAAGAAGCTATACTGCCGCCTCGATTGCTCTAGTGAATGGCAGCATAGCCTGTATTTGTAGCTCGTTACTTGTGATTTATATTCTTGATGTCGGATAAATAAGCTGCAGTTATCTATCGGCGAGTGACTCGATCGGCGAATGGCTTCGCGATCATGAAGAAACAACACTTGTCTTCTTTCGTAGCTGGTCAAGGTACTTTAGTTCCATGTGTTGTCATGTGTTTTTCGACAAACTTTCAAACAAGCTCTTGTGGCTTTTTTGTTTGTTTTTGTCTTTTTTCTTTCGTTGAAATTGCATTTCTAGTATTCTAAGAAATAAATTAAAATGATTTGCTTCGGGCGCCTTTCTATCCTTCGCGAAAAAAAATCTCAGCTAGCTTCCAATTTTAAACTGACGCGTACACCGACCATATATGGAGAACATGGTATATTAGCTCATATACCATAACGGCTAAGCCAATCAAAATGCTAGAATTGCATTATCCAATGATTCAGTTTTTAATAATGCAGATTATTCAATTATTACTACCACTTAATATTCTGATCGTTGTTGGTTCATGTTGAAATCGCAGATTTTAAAGAGGAATTAGTGAAAAGATGTTAAATATTTGAAGTGACTGCTAATAGTAATAGTAATAATAATTAGTAGAGAAACATTTTCGTGGATTATATTTCAAGAGATATTGAGACATTATGATAATTTTCTTTTCTTTCTAACAGATGTTAAGGCACAAATTTCGTTTTAATTCTTTTTAAGTGAAACATTTTACATACGTCTTTTTTATGAGTATTAAATACATTTTTTATCATTTATTTATAATTATAATTATAATTATAAAATTACGTGTAATAAAGTGGCTAAAGCCGTTAAACAGTGCTCAATACACTTTTTAAGTGTAGAGCTTTGAATAAGAAGATATAACGAAGAGACAAAATTCTCTGTTACTCCGAGTTTCGTGCTCACGCACTCATCAGACAGTATTTAATGGAGAATAAACCTATCAAGTTATATATATATACACGCGTCTATTGATTACAAAACGCAGGGCAGTGCGGTTCTAATTACAATTAGGTGTGAGGAAAAACTAACACAAAAACAACACTCTGTTAGTTTTTCCTCACACATAATTGTAATTAGAACCGCACTGCCCTGCTTTTTGTAATCAATAGACGCGTGTATATATATAACTTGATAGGTTTACTCTCCATTAAATACTGTCTGATGAGTGCGTGAGCCCGAAACTCGGAGTAACAGAGAATTTTGTCTCTTCGTTATATCTTCTTAATTGTAAAATTATAATTACAATTAATTATATAATAATTAATTATGATTATAATTAATATAATTATAATTATAATTAATTATTATTATAATTATTATTGTGAAAAAAATGCGGATAAAAGTTTTTGAATAGTTCAATAGCAAACTCCCTCCCAAAGAGCTTGCTTGCAGGCTAGGTTTTGAACCCCCTAGTAACCCGTTCCCGCCTGAATAGAGTTAATCAATCAGGAAAATAACCCGTTCCCGCCTGAATAGAGTTAATCAATCAGGAAAATGACTGGCCAGCTGCAGGCCGGTTTTGCTTTGCCTAAAATCAGCATGCTGTGGGTACTAAAAGGTAGTCAGAGTAAGTTTTTAGTTAATTAACCGAGCTGTCTTGTTCTCCGACACGTTTGCTTATAGATGACAATAAACCGAACTAAAAAGACAATGTTTTGGATGTTTTGAATGATGTGTTGAATATTGCTTGCGCCTTTTCGACCACTTGCAGCTACCCATAATTAGCTTTTGCAAACTTAAAAAGAGAGAAATGTAGGCACCTGTGGAGGTTGAATCTTTGATCAACAGGACCACGAAAAGTGATAATAACATTGCTTTGATATCTTCACCTGCAAATAATAATAATAATAATAAAAATGAATTAGAATAAAATAACTAAATAGAACAGAGGTCGGTAATATATTAAGAGTTTCCTGAAGTGGCAAAATAAGCAGCAAACAGCTCAGTAAACTATGCTGTGGATCGTAGGAGTTAGCACTCTGACAATAAAAATGTAAGGGCGTATATAACCTTAACCCTACCACCTTGAAAACTAGATTTAAATTAAACTACGCAAGGCTCAAAATGGGATACTTCAATAAAATAAATACTGGGTATTATCGCAGTGAAGAAATGCCAAACAAGCAAAGGCAGTGCGTCACATCTTTACATCCCAACGAATGCATTCTTTCAATAGATGACTGGACGTGTGCGCCTTGCAAGGCATTACAACCAGCTCTGGTACCAGTTTCTTTTTTTTTTATTTTTCCCCCGCGCGAAACAAGAAACATCATTAAGTGGATGTGAATCATATGGAATATAAAAGTAAAATTAGTGATCGCAGGAAAACTAAATTAATTTTATCTTTACGGTGTTCAGTTGAAGAAAATTTGTCACTCTCCTCAAATGGAGAAGTATTATAACTTTTCTTTCCTAGTTTCACACGTTGTTAAGAATTTCTTCATGTTTGAAACAATATCCTAAGGGTTAACGCGACTTTTTGAGATAAACAGTTTTTTTGCTTTTTTTTCTTTGTATAATCAGCACTCAATTTTAGCTGTTTCCTTTTATCTCACTTTAGTCAAGGATTCGTTAATCATTTGTTGCAGGGTTGTTGACTTTCTGCTTCGCTTATCTTATCATCAGAACATTTATCTTAACCGTTACAACTGGGACACGCCAGAAACAATGCACGTTATTGAGAATGGTGTCACCGAACTGGTTTCATTTGCATGTAACTGCATAGAAGATTTTACTGCTGCTTTATGGTTTGATCATATGCTATGCACCATCTTGATATTGAATCTTCTCTAAAACATTTGTCGTCAATTATCAGTAAATAATAGTGTGTTTAAACAAAATTGGAATAAATTTAAAAATATTAAATAAACAAAGAAAGAAATATTCAATTTAAATTCTACCTGATAGCCTTTTTTTTTTCTTTCAGGAGGCAGCAGTAATCGGCGTCGCTTATAAGAAGGGAGTACAATACTGATTCCTAGAGTTGTTCAATTGTAAAACCAGGTGATATGAATTATTACTAATATGCTTTCATCGTTTCGTCATTTTGATGTAGTACAAGAAGAAGTTGAACCGAACGTATGTATAGTCACAAAGCTACATCATGATTTTTACCAACTCAAATCACATTCTTGTGTTCATAAATCGCTGGAAAATCCATTACGTTTTATGTTCGACTCGTTTAGGCTCATCCTTGAAGGATTTTTGCTGAGATTTTGAACTCATGGTGGGTTGTTTCCTGTCAAACACCGGTGACATAGCAATTAATTACAGGTTTTTTTTTTTTTTTAATCTATTTCTTTTCAGAACGATGAGTGCAATTTCGGAAACTGCCAATTGACGTCTCATAAGATTCTTGGATTCTGAAAAACCAGTACAGTAAGCATGAAAAAAATCTATTCGAACAAAATCGCAAAAAGAAAGATTACCTCAGATAATGTGGCGTCCTTTTTTGGGTCCAATGGAGCGAATGAAAAATACAGCCAAACCTCCCGTAAACGACCACCCCAAATTCAAAGGTTTAGTGGTCGCTTACGGGCGAGTGATTGCGTACGATAAGCGAAACACAAGAGGTATATTTCTTGAAGAGGACCGAGCACAATACATTTTTAAAAGAATTGCGCATGCAGTTTCTAAGTCATGATATGTGTACTTTCATGTTGTCACTAAAATTACACCGTATTCTCTTTGTAGTGTAATAATTTATATACGGCGAGTATAGAGATCAAACTGTGTCTTTACGTGTTCGCTTACAAGGCGATAAAAACAATTGAAACTTCTGAGGCCGTCATCCAGAAAGTGGCCGCGGTCGTTTAAGAGACTTGGTCTTTTGCGAGAGGTTGTAACTGTAAGGATTTCTCTGGGAAAATTATATGGTGTTTTGGATAGGGTGTCGCTTAAGAGAGGTGGTCGCAGATGGAGGTTCCAATGTACATGTATGTCAGAAAAGTCAGTCACTTTCTTGAGTTAGCCAGCCAATGGAACTTGTAGTGGTGCAAGCTGGTGCGTGATATTGATCTTTTGCTTCAACATAGCAGCGATAGTACCACTAAAAGAGTTGCATCATGCTGGTCACAGACAAACAATAGGATTCACCCAGGATAAAGTCGAAAGCCTTTTTCTTTAGTTGAATGTCGTGACCATGGAATGGGGTGAAATACTGTCATGGCTATCAGTATAACCAAAAACTCATAAGGGGCTGAAACGTGTAACTCTCGTATGTTTACTTTGTCCGATGCTCGTGATTATTCATTTTCGAAAGTACCATATTTGGAACGAGAAGAAGAGACAACTGACCAATCAAACTTCGTAAACAACGTGACGGTAATTTTACTTCAGCTCCCCGCGCCCGCTTGAAAAAAATGGCCGACAAACGGAGGGAAAACTCCCAAAAGCAGAGAAAGCTTTCAAAGGTTGAAACTAGGAATCTTACCGAAACACTGAGCAGGATATTATTGCCTCACCACCCCGGCCAAACATAACATTATGAAACCCATTGACGTCCTCGCAACTTCTTCAAGTTGTCACTTCAAACAACGATGCCTCGTTGACCCTCTGCACAGTAAACTTATACTGCAAATAGGCTTTTAAAATTCTTATATTAAAAGTCTAGAATAAATTAAAAACAGTAAAAAATACTTTCGAATAAAACTCATTAGCTGCGTGTGTCCAAAACCTGAACCTGACATCTTCGCAAAAAGTGATACGTGTAATGAATGTGAGAAGCATTTAAGCTTAAATTCAACTTGGATGTTGTAGTCACGATCGTGTTTTGAGCTAATTTTATGAATGAACAAACTCAAAACAATAGACAGAGAAGCTGTTTCTTGAAAATTTTTATTCAAAATCCAAAAATTCAATCCTTTAAAGCAATTCGGAAAAACACTATCTGGATCTTGGATCCGTTCACGCAAGTGAAATCGGCTGAGCACATGGCAAAATTCAATACAAAATCCATCTCAAATCGGGGCACATTTTGTAATTTTTCTTTAGCGGTGAAGAGAAAAATTTATAAAACTTCTATCAAACATTTAAAATTACATAAATTCCCTTTCAAAAACGTAATTGTCTTGGCCATAGAATGCAAAATGTACCTGAAAATTCAGCAAAAACTTCACTGCGTTGGTTGCATTTCAAAACAGACCATGAGCTCCGTTGTGAGGAAAACAAGGTTGAATTCCTCAAAGGACAATTTCTCGATGGAAAGCTTCTCGTCCTCCCCAAAAAGAAAGCTGAGTATTCTTTTAAACTTTCTCTTTCCATTTTTTGTCTTTTAACGGTGTATTTTTAACCTTGAAATGTAGAACTCTTAACTTGTCTTAAAACATCTGCATGGTGCTCGCGTGGCGGCCATTTGTTTAAAATGGGTATCTGCCACTAAAGTTTCCAAATATGGTAAAAGTGTATATTCACGAGCATTGAACGCGAGTTACACGTTTCAACCCCTTATGAGTTTCTGGTATACCCCAGTTTGGAATGACACTCATAGATTGGGCACCCCCATTACTATCTTGATAACGACTTTTTGCCTACACATACATGAAACATGGAGCTGTACAATCGCCTAAAGGGTTTTCTCGCAACCTTATCTCACTCACCTTATATCAAGCAGCCAGTCCTCTTTTGGCGTCCAGCGGAGCGCGAGGAAACAAGAATGATAGGTAACCAATCTGAGGTTGTTCCGTAAAACAGGTATCATGCAACTAAAAGATACAAGATAAAGATAAACGATAAAACATCTTGAGATAATTGTTTTCCTCAACTCCTTCAAGTTATGCTCTGTTTGCCACAATCATTTTCTGTTGGACAAGGAAAATGATGAGGAGAAGGACAACAATAGAAATGTGGAGAAAAAAATGGAAGTAATTATGTGGTGGTGGTGGTAGTAGTGTTGGGAGGACAATGGTGGTGATGGAGGGAAAGCATGATGGAGCGGTTGTAGCGAAGAAGATAAAATAAATAGAGAATATTACACGGTGGCGAGAAAATATGAATTTTATGTTCGAGTGGCAAGAACAATATCTCACGAGTGAGCGCAGCGAACGAGTGAGATATTGTTCTTGCCACGAGAACATAAAATTCATATCTTCGAGCTAACGTGTAATATTCTTTTTATTATATAAACATACTGATGACGGCGTTTTTGATGATTTTCCGAAGATTTCCGACCACCTTCCGAAGATTTCCGAAGATTTTTCAAATTGTCCCGAAGACCAGACGAACGTTCCCGAACATTTTCCGAAGATTTCCGAAGATTACCGAGCACTTTCGAGGAAGACCCGAAGATGTTTCGATGATACACGAACGAATTTAAGTACAATTTAAGAGACAAACCTGATGTCTGTGAAATTATCGATATCTTCACATGTAAAAATATCGTATTTTTACGTGTGTTCAGATACCACATTTCTCGGTGGTAGAAATCCTTGTAAAACACTGCAGTTTATATAATAAACGGTTTTAACCTAATCGGTGTTAACGTATTGCTGCGCAAGTTTATTAGATTTCTTCCTCAAAAAAAGGGGTTAATCCGCCGCAAGCAACTCATGAAAGTGAAATCACGCAAATGGCAGCTCACGTGTTGCACATCATTAGGGACGTTAAGGTCCAACGACACCACCGCAACGAGAAAGTAGAAAAAAAAAAAAAACAACAACAAACAAACAATGACAACAATAGGTTTAATAAGCAAAACAATAACTTTGCACGTGCATCACACTATTTTGTACATTTCTTTGCTATCACTGCACGACTAATAAGTGAAAATGCCTACTTTCGTGTTTTATGGAGAATGTAAAATTTTATTTCTCTTTCTGAACTTGGATTTGGTCCCTTGAAAATCAACTTCAGGAGGGTTCGCCTACATTTGAGAAAGTAAGTGGGTAGGAATAATTGCTATAAGGACTGAAAGAACTCAAGTTCACTTTTTTAAGCGACGTTCTCGCTGCCGACGGGTCGTTGGATCTTAAAGTCCCCATTAATAGATGAATGCCACACTTAGAGGAACCCGATTAAGATATTACCTACGTTGCGTCAAAAGCTGGCTTTGAGGCCAAAATCTGTTTTAATTTGTATAATTTTAGTTTAATGTGAAATGGAACCTGTTACCCTAACAGGATACCCGAAGAAGAGTAACTACATGACGGCACCATTTGCAGGTAAGTGATTCTATTTCACTTTGTCCTGTTTTGCCATACAAAGATGCGCATGCCCTGCTACATGTCCGCCATAATGAAAGCTTTCCTTCTCTTTTGTTTCAATATGATTTAATATAAGGTGACGTGATAAAAGTACTATGTCTACTAGAGGACATGCTGAAATCACAACAATAAATTTTTCACTTTGCAGCATAATACCAGTTTCAGTCAGTTTCTAGTTTATGCCGGGTTTAGAAGATACTTGCTAATTTAGAAGATACTTGCTAAGCCAATATGATAATACTCAGGATGGCGATGATGGCGGTTGTTATTGCTGTTATAGTCCCGCTATTCTACTTTTACTTGCCCATAACAATGAACCACACTGAGCTCATTTTCATCATAGGGACTTCAATGCACAGCTCTTATTTGCTTTTTTGATAAAGCGAGGCAGACTTCTGTCCGGGGTTGTGCGAGTGTTGTATTTTGAGCGTTATGAACGCCACCGTGTAACAGCGGCGTGAATTAAAATGATTTTCTTAAAAAATAAAACAACCCAATACCGCTTCAACTTAAAATTGCGCTGTAGTTTTAAATCAAGATACCCGACTGTCAACTCTTGACATCCCTCTAAATCACTCATAGAAACAAAATGTAAGACAAGTCAACAGAGGTAGGGTATTTTAATAAAAACTTAGTTTATAAATTTTTAAGGGAAAGTAAAAATGGTAAGTTATTTCCCATATAAGTCCATATAATTTCTCTGTTAGGCAACGGATGTCGTGGAACTCAAGTAATGAGTGCTGAGACAAAGCTGAACAAAAGTCACACGGTCTTTTGGCCAAAAAGCTTTGAAAACCATCATGATGTGAATCATATCTACACTTGCATGTTTTATAATTTTGATAAATACTTTCTTTTGATGAGATCATGCACCAAAATAAACATATTTCATGCTTCATCGATTGTCATCATTATAAATTATACATGTATATTCTGGGGCGTCTAGACTTGCTTCAGTCTGGCACAGTAACCTAATAATAAGGTTTTACTTCCTTTAATGGCCCTTTGTCCCTTTTCACGCCAATGTCATCTGCATCCATCGCCACAAAGTTATCGGGTGTTTGCACGTACGAAATATGAGGTAAAAACCTGTTTGGTGACTTAATATCAGGCTGTTCTTTTAAAACACCCTCTGCATCCTGGTCGTCCAACTCTTTCTCGAAGGACGACAAAGGAACGAATGTTATCCCAGAGTTATCTTCCGCAGCTACCTGAAGCCCCTTAAGTGATTTAGCACTAGGAGGCGAATTGTCATTTTCTTGGTACATGGCTCGTTGGTCTGATTTCGAGTCCCTCGTAGCGAAACTGCTTGGGTAACCTGTAGACAATAGGCTTTCATCTCCGTCGGCGTTGCAATATGAAGGAGCGAATAGCCCTGGGCCGATGTTTCTCTCGATGTCTAAAACATTAATTTTTCCAGGTCGGTAAAGAGCTACAATGAATGCACAAGGCAAACCATGGAGATCAGTCAGGGCTCGACCTATACCGACTTTCCGTGTTCCCCTCCACACCAGCTGCATAAAATCTTTAGCTTTCGGTTGAATCTCCCGCTTGTTCCAATCATAGCGGCATACTTCCGAATACCTGCGCAAGGGAGTTTCGTAAAAAGAAGCGCATGAAAATAAATTACCAAGAAACATGATGAGCTGAGACAGCGTTATACTGAATATGAAAGCAACGAACAGCACTGAACAAAACATCAGAGCGTGTCTCCATATATTTTCCAACTTAAGCACAGCGTTCATTACCATTTCCCTATATACAACTTGGAAAAGTATCTCAAAGAAAGCAAGTGTTGTTTCAGCACAACGTGGAACGGTCATCAACAATATTTTACCTAAAAGTGTATCCTGCGTGAAATGAAGATGATAACAACTGCGGAAATACAAATGTATGCCCGAGTGTATTCTGGCTGGGTTATAGCCCTGTAACGTTTGTCACACTAACGTTTTGCGTTTTCTTCTTTTCTTTTTCTCTCTTTCTTACTGGAGTCGGGACTCAAATAAGCATTCATTTTATTGATCTCTGACTCACTTACTGACCACTTACCAACGGTGTACTGCGCCACTCGCCGTTAGGCCACCCCACTCACTGCACCCTCTCGCTATATTTTCGCCTTCATTCTCCATATCAACTTTTTTGCGGGCACCGTCTGGTTTTGTTAGTAGTTGGGCAAGTTGTTCGGCCTCTATAGACAACTGCGGGTCAAGTTCTAGAGGTGGTGCGTTGTGGACAGAGCGGTATTTGTTGTGTGCCATGAGAGCTTCTCGTTGAAAATATTCATCTACACCCCAACACGATAGAAATGTCAATAAGTTCGATCGTGTAAAATAATCTTGTTCAGTTTCTCAATCCCGTTTCAGTATACGGTTACTCGTGTAATTATGGGCTTCTGGGAAAGGTTAATCCTTTGGCTACTGCCAACAAAAAAACACGTTTTTACTAAGACAACCTTTCTGGACCGTCTGTCGGTCTATTTGCGTTAGATGCTAAAAAGTGATTTAAAACGATAAGGGCACATGTTCCAGCTTCTATGTGTATGCGCAGAGGCCAATTTTTGCAATCTTTTTCGATCTATTCCTTTTTTGATAGCCAGTGTTTTGCCCACGTTCGCATGGAAATAGCCAGTTTTTTATATTTTTGTCAGCTTTCGCATGGCATTTTGGCCGGCTAACTTTCCACAAATGGCTGGGGACAAATCTGCAAAGAGTAGAGGTGAATAGCAAAATTGGCAGTGGATTTTGTCAAAAATGTTACTTGTTTTTTTCGCGGGTACCCCTATCAGGATTGCTCAAGATTTGCAAAATGAGGTATCTGTCAAGGTCTATCGTTAGCCATTTCGCTGCGTAGTAACGTATCAGCTTTAAGTGTAAGCTAAATATCCAGGAAGGAAATCATGCATCGTTACAGTCATGTTAAGGCATGGGCCACCTCATAATTTGCATACTTTGACGAAGTGGCGTTTGAAACGGATTGTTTTGATCAGTCGTCATATGAAACTTGGCAAACAGTTTTAGCTCGGTGGCCTTAACAATATGTGACATATCCACTGTTGAAATATTAGTCACGTGACCTGCAAATGACCGTTGACCTGCAAAGTGTTCAAATTAAAACGGGGGAAAGGAAATGAAAGAGCAGCAAATATTCTTAGGCACCAGTGTTTTTCCCATGGCCTGGATATTATGAACTAGCACCGCATGTATGCCTAAGTAGAGCAAGGATTACGAAATAAAGAAAAACAGGTCACGTGATTCATAAAAGACTTTAATAACTCTAATAAAAATGCTTTAATCCACCTTGCAAAGGTTATTGACAATACAGACAGTTAAGCTGACAATTTGATGACAAGCATTTTTAGGCTGAAGCTAAACAACGTTACCCCGTTTGAGAAAACAGGTTTTGTGACGTCATGGACCAAGGAATGTCACGTGATGTTTGGAATAAATTTTTCAGAACTATTTTAGTGAGATATGTCTTATCATGTCTTTGTGAAATCCTTTACTTGGATCAACCCATGCCTTAACTTGCCTGAGTATAAAATCAATCGTCACTGATTGTTATGGAACATGCTATGGCTCCAGGGTTCTTGAAGTGTCCTATTGTGTTGGGTTAGAATAGTTAAATATACTACTCGCACTGATAAGGGATAATTTACCTGTCTCGTTTCCATAAAAGGGGGATCCAAACTCATCAACGGGCATGTAACCCTGGACAGAAGGTGGAGAGGACAGGTAGTTAGCAGCATATTGGAATCCCGGTAAGAAGCCTCCCTGATCGTCTTCCTCGTTGTTTTTATCATCGTCCCTTTGAAAATTGTACATCAGGTCGTTGGAATCACCGTTGTACCGCTCGGTATTTTCTTCACTCTGTTCATGGTCTTTTATGTTACTTATTCGATAATTTGTAAATGATGCCCCTTTGTTTTGTCCTTCTTGCAGAACTTGTTCCTCCAAGTAAATAGGTTTGTCTGATGCCACCGTCTGTTCTCCTTCTCCGTATTTTAATTGTTGATTTACTGGTGTCATTTCTTGTGTATTTACCTCTGTTGGACTCATTCCCACAGAAGTAGAAGCAGATGATGATGCAGATGCAGATGTCCCCTTCGCAATTTCGTCCACACTATTTACTCCTAAGACTTTGCTACTTCGTCCACCTCCATAGAAATTTCCCAAATTCTTTTGACTAAAGTTCAGGTTTATTACCGGCACTCTGCTCTCGCCTTGAGGAATAGTCGTATTTTGAAAATATCCATTACCTGATACGTTGCTTGTTGGCTTGTCATTTGACTGATTTACCTGCTGTTTGATAGGATTCTTAAAACCCTGTAAACTGGAGGAGGTAGTTGTATTGTGTACACTTGCCAAAAAAGAATCTAGCATATTACTAGGTGGCTGTTGTTTCCTTTGTTTACTACTAAATGGAGCGTTCACTTTAGTGACTGTAGTGACGGGATTTGACTTTCCTTGGCCAGGCTGATGTGCTTGTAAAGAATTTGCGGGAGGGTTATAGTCAATTCTGTTACCGTCCGAGGTGTTTACCTTGTAGCTTTCTTTGGCAAATTCATCATCGTGATCGTCTTCAAATTCCATATCCTTTCCACTAGGGTTCCTACCATGATTTAGGCTGCCAGAATTATCGTTTTCTGGGAGCAACATCAATGGCTTTCCCGTCTTAACAATTTCCGGAGACGAAATTCCAATTGACGAATAGTTTCGTATCTTGGATTGATGTCTCATTTCTTCGATTTTTTTTAGTTTTGTGCCAGATTGTTGGAAAAGAGGTTGTCCAACCATTTCGTACGCTACGTCATTCATATGCCCTTTTCCAGTAGTTACAGTTATGGAATCATTTAGTAAATTGAGTGATTGTCTCGTGTCTTTGATTTTTTTAAATTTCGTGGTAGTATGGGATAAAAGTGGTCGTCCCACCCTTTCGATTTTTACGTTATTCATTTGCCCTGCTCCAGTAGTTCCACTTATGGAATTATTTGGCAACTTGAACGCTTGTCTGACGCCTGTGATTTCTTTAGGATCTGTGGTGGCGTAGGATGAAAGCGGCTGTCCAACCCTTTCGATTTGTACGTTAGATACATTCTCTGTCCCATGGACAGTCCTTTTCCCATAATTCGCTGCAAACTTCCTTAAATGCAAAGAACGCAACTTATGTCGCACAGGGATATTATAAGCAAAACTGGAAAAGGCGTTATCTTTGTTTATTATACTTGGTCTCCGTATTTCATCCGTTGTGATTTTATCCTGAAATTTGTGTCCGGTCATCGAGTGTCCATGATAACGAAATGCCATGCGCCCGGCTGATAAGCCTGAAGATACGAGAGAATGAATGGATTATTACTATCAGTGGCAGCTTGTAGTAACTGTGTTAAGCCAAGAGAATGATCAACATTTACTGAAGTAATTTGACATTGACATAATACCCAGTCTGTTACTTATAAATACAATATGTTTACAAGTTAATGCTACCCTGATTTTGGAGAGTCAATACGAGCTTGGAAATTAGATTCATTGTAGGTTTTATGATTCGGCCATATATTTCGGAAATAAACAATAGGCAAGGAAAGCAAGAACGTCTACAAAATATTGAGAAAGATGATTGCATGCCGTCTGTTTTGGAAAAAAAAGTGTCTCTATGAAGCTTAATACTTTCGAAGTTTGGACAGGCGCACCAAGTTCATGGGTACAACACCAGAAACCTGACTTGCTGCGTACTCCTCTTGCGAAAACTCCTAACTACCAAGGAAGCTTTAGAATGCTCAAAAGCCATCTTAGACAGTAATACCTGTTCATGTTGCATTTATAACCTAATTAATTATCTAGTGTCGTTAATGTCTTAATGTGCTTGTTTTGTTTGTGCCAGGGGTCCATTTAAACTAGCCCTGCCAAATTGCATGCTCCGGGATAAATACTGATTTTGAATAAATAAATTAATATTTGGTAGCCACTAGAAGCTAAAGCCTTTCTACTTGTTCCTCTTTGGACTTCAATATTTTAAAAGCATTAAGCAATAACATAAAAAGAACTGCACCTCTGCTGGGTGATTTTAAAACAGTCTCCTTACCTCCTTTTATCGTTACCACAGCAGCCAATGTAATCACAAAGTGTTTTAAAGGGTGCATTTTAGATGTTCCGTCAGCAGGAATCGATCTTCCTTAGAAAAATTATATTAAAAATCATTAAAAGATAGGTATGACAGGTATACCATCATTACGTTTTTGAAATACAGTTAAATCGAGTTCACACTCGCGAAGATGTGCAAGCATTGCTTCAATTTGTGGAACATCTGACTCACTGGCATGCATGCTCTTGTACCACTAGGTGTAGTCAGGTAGCTTAGCATTGCGAGTCAGGTGCAATTTTTGATACAAGTACCAATTTTTGTAGGAATATAAATATAAACATTCCTAGACTGGTGATTTCCTGTATAGTCCTAGATTAAATTTTCTGATTCCATCTACTAGCAAATGCAATTTTCAGACCCGATACCCAGCGAAGGATTCTTTCTTGCTCTTTTTTTACACGTTTTTTTTTTCAAAATACAGATTCGAATGTTCAAATTTGGACTCGAATTATTATTTTCTTCTTTGTTTTTTATACTTATAATTTTCTGGGAAAGTTATTATGTAAATGTAGACCGTAATTTACAATTTATCTGCACATTTTCTTTTTTCTTCTTTCTCTTGGTTCGGATGGGAAAAGCTTGTGTCAATTGGTAAAGCTAGAGAAGAAAGGCCAGTGTGAACAGAAGAAATAAGCTTAGTAGAACTGCCTTGACTATGGAAATAGAGTTGCTTCAAATTAGTCAGTCATTGAGCCATTTGGCATCAATCTCGTCGCCATGTGTTCAAAAGGACGAAACTGGATCGCATGGTAAAAGGAAAATGACTGTGGAAATCCACGGCTAAAACAACAGCAAATGTTAGCGGTATTTACGGCTAATTTATCCGTACCCGTACACGGAAACAGCGTATGTTAAGGTCTCTAATACGTGAAGGGTGTGTGACATCTATCATGGAGTACACTTTTTTTTAAGAGGGGAGTGGGGGAGCAACCATTCAAACGCCTGTGTTTCCCCACGCCACAGATTGGGGCTGGACTCTCGGCAGATATGAACAGATGCAACCACTATGGTATACCCTACCAGCAGCGGCTGTCCATTGGAGTTGTTAAAGAGAGTTGAGGCAAAGATATAAATGTGTGAAGAAGATCTTCTATGAACCCGCTTTGTGTGTGTGATGAATTGTACATTCGTGAATAATAAGTTGTATTCCGTGACGAAAATGTGAAATCAACTGGGCTCGTTACTTTCCGTTGCCATGGGAACATACAGTTAAAGTGAAGTGGAGTGTGATAAACGAGACGTACGTGGTAAACATGGTAGTGATCTACCGACTGAAATAATAGTATCTCTTGATAAACTAGGACAGATAACAAATTGCAGAAATTTAATAAATTTCATGGAATTGCCGACGCAATCCTGATTTGGCACTCTCACTGGCTAAATTTATGCTTGTATCTTAAAGTACACAATCCCAATTCACCTGAAATTTCAAGCTATGTTACCAGACTAGTGATAAAATGCATCTCCAGGTCTGCTCTCCAAAGCCATGAGAAAAAAAATCACCATCACTTTCTAATCAAAGAAAGAGAGGTAACCTTTTCAGATTAAGAGATAATGAATTAAGACTGATTTAAAACCGTGTTCTTTTCTCGCGTTACACGGACTGTCCTGTAACGCGAGAGAGAGGAATCCTAAATTGTGGTGTTTCACAACACCTGAATGACTTTTCAAGTCTTTGAGACTATTTTCTCTTATTCCGTGTTAATAAGTTATAGTATGATGATGATGGTGATAAAATAGTGGTATATAAAGTGTAATATATATCATGAACACAGTGGTAAGATAATATTTTGAGTAATAATGGTTTCTGTTTGAATGCGTTTGTTCGCTGTAGCGGAACAATTATAAATTAAAGGATGGAGTTTACACTAGACACACCAACTTACCCACGTCGTGTTATCCCGAATTCTTCAACCAATTCATCTTTTCTCTATGATCCATCGAAGAAGGCAAACAGAGAGATTTTGCTAGAAATTAGGTCATCACAGTGAAATACTCTTGGCAATTGATGGTTATAATAACGCCTTCTTACAACGCGAACGTCAAATTGACGGGTTTAAGTATTCACGTTCAGACAAACTGAAGCTGGCCACCTGGTGAACTGGCTCGTTGCTTGACACTCAATCCATTTCCAAAATTCAAAATTATATAGAACTGAGACGACAATAGCGCTGAAAGAAAAAAGCGATCTGATTGTCTATAGACTCTGAAATCAGTAGTGAGGGGACTCATCTAGCATGGTTTCAGCTAGGCCGGATTATAAGTGCGATGAGCCTCATTTATTCGCTTTTTCATTTTCCACATCTTTTCATTTTCTTTCATTTTCTTCGTCTTAATGCCTTGCGCAATTCCATTGCACTTTTTAAAATCTTTACGAGTCGAATGTCCCTGGAATCTTGTTTTTTCGGTCTTGGCTGATAACTAACCCCCAGTTAGAGAGATGACTGTTCAAAATAACATAACAATTTCTTGCTTGGGCTAATTTCCAAAATCTTCCCCAATATCTCCTCCATTGACCGATCATTTGTGGCTTAAAGCGAAGAAGCTTCAATCCCCTCACAGAACACAACCAAGATGAAAAAAACATCAATTCATTCACTAGATTATTATTTATTGGATTCAAAGGGTCAATTGCTTCAACTACTTATTGCCTTCGCTTACTTTTCATTTTATGACAATTATTATTCTAATTCACTGATAAGCAATGAACGTATTTTGCACTCTAGTTTACAGTTACAGTTACGTCATGTAAACGTACTCACAGACGACGGACTCGTCAAGCAGTTCAAGCGAATAGCGGTCTTTTGTTAAGGTTTGATTTTTTCGCACTCATTTTTTCGTCAGAAATTTCTCAGCATAAGCACGTTATAAAAATTAATTCATACTTACTAGGCTTGGTTTTCTAAGTAAATCTATCTCAAGCTATTTTAGGTTGTGGTTGTTAAAAAATGACAAAAAAAAAACAACAACAATAAGCAAAAACGAACAAACAAGCAAAGTAAACGAACAAAAATAACAAATTTAAAGGCATTAGAGAAATTTAAATTTTGCACATAAATATGAATCAGTCACATCTCATCCGAGATAGAGACACAGTTGTTAACAATGGGGTCAAAAGTTCCTTTTTTGACGTTTCGCTTAAACTCTTCTTTGCCATCTTTGTTTCCTTGGGGCCTATAGCGGGCTACAATAAACCAACAATGTTCATCGTTAACATCCTTCTGAGCAACCCCGATACCTAATTCATTTGAAGCATTCCACACGAGTTGTGTGAAATGCGCAGTTTCTTTGGAAGCTGGATCAGGGTCTTCAAAGTTATAGCGGCAGACCTCTGCATACCTAAAGGATAACAACAAATTCTTATTTTTAAACCTTTGCATTTCACAAAAAATGTTCAGACTAATATTTTATTATTACTGTTATTATAATTAATTTATTATTATCATTGTTATTATTATTATTATTATTATTATCATTATTCTTTCATAATTTTAAACAAGATTTAGTACTAAATGTCACAGTAACCACCTTTGTAATCTCTTTAAGATAGTAGTAAGGTTGGATTCTAATCGAAAGTCGAAGGTTTCACAGATACTTGGAAACAAATTGCGCTCTTTGATTGTGATTACCCACTTTAACCTCCTGACTCGTCCCCACTCATCTCTCATTATTATTAGTATTCGGCGTGGAGGACTAGAACGGGCTCTTTAACAAAGTGGATGACTTTCCCGCGCGCGTAACCCAAGCGCTTCCCTAGTAAATAATTAATGACTAGAGACAACTTAGAGACGACTGGGGACGAGTCAGCTTTAACCTCCACGTTTTTTATAGACTTAACTATCAGGTTTGTTTAGTTGGGGTTTATTACACCTCACGCATTGAAAGGTACAAAATATTTGGGAAAGCAATAGGATTGGTCAGCTACCCCATTAAAGGAAGTTAATCAACTTAGTTACTTTATAGTAGTGACGAAGTTTAGATGACGACCAAGGTTAGCTGCTTAGAGACAGCGTAAAAGCCCTCCATTTCTTACCATGGGGTTAATTTATGGGAGCTGATTTTAGCTCTATTTTTCCTCTTAACGATAACGACACAAACGAGCAAGAAAGTTAAAGATAATAGTTTTCTCACCAGGCCTCGACCACATGTTGTATTATGCTATGTGGATTGAACAGGTTACTTTTGGAGCATATTTTTGCTAAACTTTCGCCTTCGTTCTCTTTATTGAGAACATTGGTCGCTTGATGAGTGAGGCTTTCTTCACTAGCAAGTTTTTCGGCCATTGTACGTGCTTCATAGACCAAATCCTGGACGAGTTTCATCGGCTGTGACAGATGTGTCTTGCGAAAGGCGTTGTGTGCTGCCAGGGCCATTTTTTCCGCTTTTGAAACTGCAAAAACGGGAAAGATTTGGTAAGTGTGGGTTATGATTGTTGAGTTAGGCAAGCAATTAGAATAATAGTGTGGGATGTTGAGATATAGATTTGTTGCAGATGGAGTTTAACTCTCGTCTTCTCTTAATTCTTACATGGAAGCTGCCCCTAAGTAGAAAAACTACCAGGCTTTAAGGGACAAGGGCTACAACAAATTATGTCAGTATCAGGTCTGAGATTCATTGCGAACTTGTACTACTTACATGTGATCATAGGTTTTGATGTAACTTGAACGGCCTTTCCAGAACCAGAAGGTTGCACTGCTGTGGTACCTTTACCTTGATTTGGTTTCTGAGTCGGTGGGTTACTCCCTAGTCCAGAAGTAGGTGGGACTTGTGTAGAAGTTTTAAAGCTTCCAGGCTGGATGCTTGCGGGTTTCGTTTGAGTTGGACTGCTCTTGCTCCAGATTGGTTTACTGGGTACATTGGTAGGCTTGTGCTGGTTTCCTTTAGAAGGCGGATTTGTAGTTGGCTTGCCACCACCTTGTGAAATGGGCCCAGCGTTTTTAGTAGGTTTTGGTGTCACTTGGAATGCTTTTCCCTGAGCTCTACCAGATGGTTTTCCTGATGAAATTGGCTTAGTGGGGGTAGGTAAATTAACTGGTTTTGTTGCTGCATTTCCTACTCTAGAAATTACTTTCGCCGTCGGCGTGTTTTGCTGGCCAACTGTCGGTTTTTGAGTCGAAATGAAACGACTCTGTTTGGTCGAAACAGGCCTTTGACTGGGTTTTTGTGACGTCGGTGAGGACGGGTTGTTATTTGGGGGTGTTATGCCTGCTCCATTTGTCATCATTGATGTCGGCTTATTCAAAGACGTATTTTTGGTAGGGCCAGGACCATTACTTGGTTGCTGATGTTTGGATTTCGATGTGGTTTGCATTGTCTTTCCTGATGGCTTTGCTTTACTCAACGAAGGTGAGGTCACCTGGTTTTGGTTTCCCGTTGCGGAGGGTTGTTTGTTTGCAGCCGCAGGATTCTGTGAGGTGGGGCCAATGGTAGTGCTAGGTTTCTTGCTAATGGGTGGCTTTAGGGATGGGGTGGCCTTATTTTGATTTGAAGCTGCTGCTGCTGTATTCCCTATTGACTTAACTTTCTTGCTAGGTGTTGACGACGCTGAACTACTCTTTGACGTTTGGATAGTCCCGCTATTAGGTTTTTGGCTGACGGGAATTCTTGTTGACGAAGTAACCTGACTGGAGGTTGCTGAGTTTGTTACTTGGCTCGTCGGTTTTATTTGTTTTCCAGGTAAAGGTGGGTTTTTAGTTGATAAGACACCTCCCTGTGTCGTACTTTGACCTTTACTTGAATTTACTTTCGCTGACTTTGTTGTTTTCTTCGAGGGAGATATGATGGCCTGTTTTGTGGTAACCGCACCTGCTGTGTTTCCTACTGGCGAAGTCGGGCTACCTCGAGGCATAGAATTAGGCGGCTTTTGGGTCGATTTTAAGCTGTTTTGAGCCTTCTCTAATTTTTTCTGGTTGGCCTTTGAGTCCATGGATTCCACATGAATATTTAGTTCAGCTTTATTTCCATGCGTAGTTACCTCTCCAGTTATGCTGAACTTGTCCTTTTTAGTCAATTCTGATCGTTTAAGTGGGTGAACTTAAGAACGTCAAAATAAAATGCAATGTAAGTAATGTTAAAAAGGCTAACAACAGCTAATTTATCACGGGGTTACTCCTGGGAAATCTTGGTGGGGGTGTGCTCTCCAAACCTGTTCTTAAAACTTTATTTCAGACAAAAGAAAAAAACATTCCAAACCCGTTTTCAGACCTGGTCTCTAAAATCCAGACCCGTTTTCAGACCTAAAACTACTTAGATTATAATGTCAACGAAAAGATCCATTTCAAATTCGCGCATTATATTTCTTCCTTATTCATTTGGAATTGAAAAGACAAGAACGTTTATACACTCCCGTAGTTTCCTTGAAAACCTATCCCATGCAGTCCAAAATGTGCCAATATCCATTTTCAGACCAAAACGTTATTGAACGTCGTTAACTTGTTTTTGCACATTGCATTTCTGGGGGCAGCAGTTTTAAAGCTTTTAAGTAACGTCTAATTCACACTACTCCCTTTAAATGCAGATGTTGTTTTCTTACTTCACGTTATTTTCTAAAAATTTATTATTTCTTATGTTTTATTTTTCAAGTTAAACTCCTGTGTTGTGGGTAAAAGACCAAAACCAGGCCCCATCATGCTTTGTTTCCCTTGTAAATAATCTGAGATCTTTCTCTTACAAATACAAGTACGAAAGCAGTTGATTAGGAATAGTTAGTAAAAATTTCAGCCAAGCTTTGACTGAAAATTGTGGGACTCATCATGGCATGGCCCTTTTTATGACAAGCGCGACAAATCTCTCTTCCTCACTTTTGGCTCAAGATATGCAAGTGCGGTTCTCTTTTATAGTTAGCCTCAAACAAAATTTCCAAATTTCTTCTCGAAAAAATAAAGCACTTGTTGGTACCTTAAAAGTCTACATGAAGCGTCGTGAAATTCAGAAAATGATTAATAATATCATTGTTTTGTTTTGAAATAAGCTAGAATATAAAAGGGAAAAAAAGGATCGTTTTTAAAGTTGAAAGTTTAGTTTTTGGACTTGTTTTGTAGCAGCATAAGCTTACTTTTAAGCTATTCGTACCTGCATCATCAGCATAAATGGTGAATACTACGTACAAAGAAATTATTGCTAGGTTAACAGCCAACATTTCTGTGCGTACTCAACAAAGATTCCTCCCACCTGGAAAAAAAGTAGGGAGGAAAAAAAAAATTGGTAAAATTGATACCAGGGCTCTCTTTTGTCATCTAGGTTGTCCTAAAGACTGGAAGTTCACTTACCATAGATCAACAAACGGTAAAGTGTCCCTTGGCACGGAATCTTAAATAGGTTAGATGGTATATGGTTTCAGTATATCAAGTACCGTTTTAGGTACCTTTAAAAAAAAAAAAAAAGTTTTCTTGGCTACTTAAGACATCATATCTTTATTTATGGCCGTAGATACGGTAGTGTCTATAATTAGTGACTTTGTTTGTCGTCTATGTTAATATTGCTCGTTTTGCGAAGCCTAAACAATTGACTGAACTAAATCAATTTCAACTTCAGTTTTGGTATAGCTAAATGGAATTTGTTACGGTAACTTAAATGTTGTGATGCAGTTTACAGACGTTTACCTACCTGGAATCTTGTCCAGCTTCTAATCTTATCACAGTTCACAGAACATTCTGCTTGCAGCTGGTTTTGGTAAACACATAACATAATCACCAGTCATAATGTTTGTTGAGTAACTGAACCAGTACCAAGGCTTATATTCCTTTTGTTAATGTGTTGTCGATAATAAACCAGGTTTGAAAATACTGCGACATGCTTTGAGCTATTCACAACTCGTTGGAAACCTCCTACTATTACTAACAGAGAGTGTAACGTACGTAGTTTTGACCAAAGTAGAAATGGAAAATAATGTATCAAATCTGGTACTACCCTCGGCTAGATCACCCTCACCGAACTGAATAATGTATGCTAACCTGGCCAGCCTATAGTCGGGTATGTGCTAGTGGTACCAACAAAACGCTTAAAACTAGGGTTAATATATCAAATTTCGGAAAAATTGTGGAATAACCGATTAAATTGTACATTTCTAAACCTGAGGTCAAATTTCCCCTTCTTCCTAAATCGCCAGCTCATTTTCATACAAAATAGTATTTTTGGAGATAGTAGCAGGTCGCATGCTTTTTCTCTGCCTCTACGGCCTCTGCCTCTGCTTTAATTTCTGCCCCTGCCTCTTTCTATTAATTTTAAACCAACAGCAGGCAGAAAAAGAAAAAAAAAACCATTGCCGTTTAAGTAACAAGTAGTTCAACAATGAAATCTAGTGTCCGTTTCATGCCACTGACAAACCGACCAAGCCAAAAATATAATTAAACTGCGTAATTGCTCAGTTTGTTTGAAGACTTTTGGATTGTTTTTGTTTGACAATGTTTGTTTTTTTTTTCAAACTCGCATTTATTCCATATGAAGAAGATAGGACCATCGCGTTAAGAAATGAAAACGTTATGTCCTACGAACTCTCTAAAACCTCCATTTTCTTTCGCTAACCCTAATTTTGTTCTTCTTTATAATCCAAGTTGAAAGAGGCCATTGCAATAAAAATACTTTTCTGCTGTGAACAGTATAATTTCTTGTATTTTTAAAACTTTTTCAACTTAAAATGTAATGATAACAACAGACACTTGCTACAAATACACCTGTTTATTTCAGCACTGTTTACATGACTTGACATTATCTATTTACCTGTTAATTTAAACACCTCATAGGCTCCATATTGTAAATTGAAGACCACCCATGCAGGAAATTTTAACTACTGATATTTCTTAAACCCTTCCAGGAAAGATTGTGTCGATCTTTGGCCACATTGATTTCTTCTTTTCGCTCCTCAAAATTGATATTCACATGTTTTCTATCGTCAATATACTTTCAGTATCGTGAACCTGTCGTTACAAGGTTTTCTTTGAAGACTGGCTTCCGCAATGAAGCCCCGACGAGCGTTAATTTGAAAATCTTAACAACCAATGGATAGAAAATATCCATACTAAAGTAGTTTATTTCGACTTAACGCATATCCGATATGTATGATCGACGTTTAATAATTAGCACTACCAGGGTTACCCAGTGACTCGCATGCTCTCTGTTTGCATAAAGGGCGAGTCCACCAGTCTAAATTTCCCTTCTCGTTATCGGTCAGTTTTTTAATACAGCTTCTTGAGCGAGAGGTTGGCTTGGAACTGGTTTGCAGAAACTTGAATCAAAAGCACCCTTTCTGACATTATGTGCATAGAGCAATGCATTCCCTAAGTTCCCTCGAGGTCTGTACCTGGCAACGTAATACAGACATTGCAAGTTATTGACGTTTCCATATGATATTCCAACGCCCAGGGACCTGCTTCCTTGCCAAGTCATTTGCGTGAAGTGTCTGTAACTGTATTTGTCTGATGGAGGAGTCTTGAAGTTGTACTTGCACCCCTCGTCATACCTATAATTATAACAAGAAAAAACTGGGCCGATAAAGAAAAGCACCTTAGAGGGCAGTTAAGGAGTGTCCAGGTGTCTACGTTGAGGCTGATACATTTTCTGAGTTGAAGTTCCATTTCCTTTGTTTCACATTCATTATCATACATTATCATAGACCAAAACAGTATTTCAAGGAAGATTCCAATTGTCCTGGTGCCGCAGTCAAGGTTAATACCTCATACTATTGCTGACGTACATAATGAGACAGACTCTTCCAAATCCGAAGTCGCAACTCATAATTTTGTATCGACAAAATGCAGTCAATAAACGACTCATTACAAAATACTATGCTTAACAGGAAGAGTTAACAGAATTTGGTAAGGGTTTGGTAGGGTTCATAACTTCCAAATTATCCAACTAGACATCACCAAACTATAAAATATATTCTTGGTCTCAGTTTTGTGTTTCGTCGACATTTAGACAACCCATCTCTATCACATCAGCCGGAAAAGAACAATATATTTTTTTACTTACCAGCGCTTCATTATCTGCCTTAATGCCTTAGCAGGGTCAGGTTTTGTAATTGAGCACCTAAAGCCCAGATTTTCCCCTTCATTCTTGGATGCGAGTACAAAGTCTTGTTCTGGTCGTAAGAGTTTATCCTTCGCCACGTTTTCGGCGTATTCCTGAGCATCTTTCTCAAGTTTGCTATCAAGACTTAACAGCGGTGCCTCGTGTATTGAGCGGTAGTAGTTATGCAACTGCAATGCCATGCTACTTAAATCTGGAACTGAATGTTATGAATTAAACAAAGTATAATGTCTGTTGAACAGCCGTAGGTCAAATACGAGAAGGAGAATCCATATAGACGTACTGTCTGAAATGTTTCTTTCCTAGCCAAATATCTATTGTATTACTACTATACATGGCCGTCTATAGTAAATGCAAGAAAATGGACCCCATCAGTTAAAAAAACAAACAAACAAATTACAAAAAAAAAAAAACACCTACGAACTTTGATTTCAATAGTCGTGCGCTGTTTGATTGGACAATCTGGAGGGCAGTTAATTATCCTATATATAAGACCCGCTAAATATCCTTTCCCGCTCGTCCACGTCAGTCAACCTCATAGATATGATACTAAGTTAGAGGTTGGTTTGATCAATTGCTTTAACTTAAAACGATTTCGAGCTCCGTAATTATAATGTGAGAAAAAGGCCTGGTTTTTTTTCTCTCTCATTAATTTACATCCCTGTACTCCTTACCCTTGAGCCCAAAAATATCTGAATAGAAAAAAAAACTGAAAATCCAAAACTTACAATATGGACCAAGAAATAAAGTGTTTTTTTTCATTTGCCTAAACCCTATTTAGACTGGGCATCTTTTTGCTTCTTGGGACGTGGGGGAACGCTTAAGAGTCTCCAATGTATGTCTTCAAAGCCCCTCTTGAGACGGCTACCATAATTACATTACTTTTCCAACATGTAGGAGTACCTTAATTGACACAATGACTTAATTTGATGACACTGTGGCGTCATGCTGTTGAATTTATTCGAACAACCAAATTCCACTCATCCATTGGCTGATAAAGCAAATAACAAACCTTGACAGAAGCCATTTTAAAAGGCCCTGTAAAAGTCGCTCTAAAGAATCAAAAAAGAAGTTACTTCTCTTACTGTTTATGGGTTCTTTATCATTTGACGGGTCATCTGATGGTATGGATGTTGTCGGAGTAAAACTTGCCCTTTTCTCTGGAACCGGTGTTATTCTGCAACCAGTGTTGATAGTTCTGACACATTTTGTTGATGCTGCAGCACTTGTAGGTGCAGAGGTGGGTCTTGGACTAGTACTGTTTGTAAGCAGTATTGTCGGTGAAGGTTGATGACTTGAAGCTGAAGCGATTGCTTTGGTTAACGACGTAGCCCGTGATGTAGTCCTGGTCCCTAGTGTAGGCACATTTGTCGGCGTTGCAGTTGGTAATGTCTTTGTACTTGTGTTATTAACCCCCTCCACATGAATATCAATCACAAATTTATTTAAATCCATTTCGCCGCTACCTTTGATGGTAAATTTTATGCCAACTAAAACAAAAAAAAAAATTGTTGATTATTAAAGGACCAGCTCAAGTTTGGAATTATACTTGGCTCAGATTTCCACTTTCGTGGTCAAAAAGTTTATGCTATGCATTTTTGGCTAGAGTATCATGAGGCAAAGAAATAAAAATTTAAGTTTTTATTTCATACCCTCCAAACAGCTTCCCCCAAAAAGGTCATGTGAGTGAAAGCACGTGCAACAACCCAAAAATAGCTCAAAGTGTATAACCCAACCCCGCCACTCCCCCCCACGAAACAGATTTACTGTTATTTCCGTCAGCCCACACCTTCTTCTGGTATTTACTGTTTATGTCTCATTTTGGTCCGAGACACCACACCATGGCTAATGTCCCAATCCCACACCACAGACCCTTGATCTAAAGCCCTTTTGCCTGTTCTCACACTCCTGGCTACGACACTGAAATAGGTAAATTAAAAAACTCAAGTATTCTCTAGACATAACTTTCAAATCATCGATGCACAACAACTTTAACTCAAAGATTCAGCCTCTCGAAAGCATAATTTTAATATCTGAGTAGAAGTCAATAAAAACAATTTATAACAACAACAACAACTTACCACTTTCCTCAAATGTTGCTTGAAGAAATAACAGGCAGATAACATACATTGTTGCTTAGTACGTTATAACTGAGGTTAAATGCTTCGCGAAATGCTAAGGCCCAAACCGTGATCGCTAAGCCATTAGTGGTCACACTACTTAACTGTGAATAAAGTTATACAGAGAAGTCAGATTCTTTGCTGATAAGAATAACTCCTTACAGGAATGGAATCTATAACGAAGTAAGTCATGTTAAAATCAATGATTCTTCCAGATTAATTGTGTTTACTGGCTTGAATTTGACAATTTTTCTCCTAAGGAAATTAAAACAAATAGATTTATATAGTTAATTGATCTTTTTTGAGATTGGATGGTCAAACAAGGTTGTACAAAGAACCTAAGTTTATCAGAAATTAGTTGCATTCTGAAATGTGTTCTTTCCTGTGCACTCATCCGTAAACTTCCCTTCTCTAATGGATTAGTTACTCTTCCTAATCCGTAATTTGCTTTAACTAAGAAACATTTTGGTGTAACCTGATGAAAGGTTTCATTCATTAGATTCATCAGTGTTATAAGTCAAGGTTCAAAACGTCGAAATCTCTCTCCGTAATCAAATAACTTACCTATTACCAGCGCAAAAAATATAAGCAACATTGGAGTGTTCCTTTGTTTAATGCCTGTGCTTGGCCCGAATAGATATAACTAATAATAACCTGCCTGAAGTGACTCACTGGTGATAGCTTGTGATCAAATTCACTATCTCAACAGCACCCCAAACATACCAGTTAAACACGGGACTTCTTCAGTACGTAACAATCAGGCAAATTAAGAGGTTACATTGTCTTTGTTGTGTGTGAAGCCAAAAGAAAAATAAAAGGAAATGAAATCAATGAGATAAATAGAAAATAAAAATTGTGGCTCCTCAAAAGGAGAGAAAAAAATATTTAAATGTAGCAGGATTTTAAACATTCCTCTATAGGTATTAAACCGGGAAACGCAGATGTGGCGATAATATACTATTTTCACATATAATAACATTATGATAATTATATCCTAATATTTTTTATTATTAAGTTACTCGCTTAGCTTAGTTGCACAGTGTTCATAGATCATCGTACAAGCTAATTAAACTGGCGCTTTTCTAAACTGAAAATAGGAAGAATTGGACAAGAGACGGTATCCTCTAGCCACCATATTTTTGCTCCCTTTTAACATTGAATGTTAACTGTAACGAAGGCCTGCCTAATAGACCTTGTCACGGTTTTCGACGCCATTTTGACGAGTAGGCAAACGCGTGAGAAATTGCAGTGATTAAATTGCAGTGATTCGTAAAGCATTTAACCTCAGTTATAACGTACTAAGCAACAATGTATGTTATCTGCCTGGTATTTCTTCAAGCAACTTTTGACGAAAGTGGTAAGTTGTTGTTGTTGTTGTAAATTGTTTATTGACTTCTACTCAGATATTAGAATTATCTAATTTCTCACACTTTTGCCTACTCGTCAAGATGGCGTCGAAAACCGTGACAAGGTCTATGATTGGCGCCTTTTTTTTGCTATATAATTATATGTATTTCTAGACTTTCTACTTTGTTCATTTTTTTCCATTTTTCATTTTTTGCAGGCTAGTTGTTAGTCAGGGAGGTGCGAAAAGACGGCGAGCAATTTGCTTTACTCAATTTCTGGATTAAGGGGTATCTAACATTTTATAGCGTTCATTTAGTCTTGAACTCACATGTGCGCTTAAAACGCTTTGAATCCAACACGGTTTCAGGCTGTACTAGCAATCTTGTTCAATACTTAAGCGTGCGTGTGGCAAGCTGGATCGCTTGCAAATGAGACGTGCTCGATGGTTTTCGCATAAATATATCATATACCAAACAGTCTTACTAAACTACAGTTACTGTGACACTAAGCTAAAGTAATTATAAGTAAGCGAGAAAATTATTTTTTACTTGAGTTTCTTTATTTAAATTTGGTATAATAGATCCCATACTGTCAATCAACTACTCCGACCAAAATCTCACTAGTTGCTTCACAAGTTCAGTTCTAGAAACCACTGAAAGGTCACGTCATTAGTAAAGTAGGAAGGCGAAGTAAATGACCTCTTTTGGTTATAAAAATTGGGCTTATTCGTTCATCTTCACTATTTGTTTTCCTTATTGTTTACAGGTGATTCTTTATCATCTGGTGGATTAAACCCTAAATTCTACAGTTTAAACATGCGTATTTAATTTCAGTAAGAGATAGAACGTCTAAAATAAATAATACAAAACGTCCAAAAGCAGGAGTCCATAACCTAGAGCGATTAGGACCAGGACTGGCTTATTTTTAGATACATTTTAAAGTAGTTTTTTCGGCGACAGTTGAAGTCCCGCTCCCTCTATGAGCGCATTAGGAGAGCAAGATATCTAAAAGTAAAAACTGTAAACGCCATGGCCATTAAAATATCAAGACTACCATTTTAGGACTTAAGGTTTTGCTTACTGGTTTGGGGAAAATATCTTCTAACCCCCAACCCCCAACCAAAAATAAAATAAATAAATAAATAACTAAATAAACTGCTGACACGAACGAGTACATGGTAGTAGCATGCTTGCTCCCTCTTATGGGCTCCTGACAAAAGACTGTTTTCCTGCTCTGGAGATATAACACTGTCAATGAGAATAACAGACTCGGAGAAATATCGTTTTAACCAAATGTATCGGCGTTATCACCACTTGTTCATTAGACGGGGATGCAAATTTAACTATCGCTCACGTGAAGATTGTGAAACACGTGACCATTTCGTTGCGCCGGGTTCGAGTGGAAGGTCCTGACTTTAAGGAACCAAAACTATCCTAAATGCCTTCTGTTCCAGTTGCCAAATTTTAACTTTCAAAGTTTAGACATGAGCAAAATTTTGAGATGAAGTCAGGCAAGGACGTGGATCGGAACGGGCGGTTAACAAGTGGTTCAGAGCCGAAGGTCAGTAAACAACTAAAGTGATGAGAAATGCAACCAGAAGACAAAAGAATTCGCTAAGAACTGTGGGACTTTCATTGTTATGGAAATATAATTGTTTTATTTCCGATACTGAGAATAGCAGATTATATTACCTGCTTTTGCCAGAAAGTTATTAAAAAATCTCATGCATCCAACTTTTGTTGACCATTCAGATAGATATCTGACGACTTCCCCTAAGCGTGTGTCTCAGCGTAGTTTTGAAAAGAAAACCAACCATCTTTCCGTAACATTTATTCGAGCGCCTTTTACCAGCTTCGCAAAAAGATGAATCAAAGCTCCCTTTTTTCACATTTTCTTTAAATCGCGAAGCATCGTCGATGTTTCCGCCTGGGGAGTAACGCGCCGCTACGTAATAGCACGTAAGGCCGTTTTCTTCTTTACTACTCCATCCCAATCCGACCTCCTCGGTCGATCTCCAGACAAGCTGCGTGAAATGTCCAGTTGACTGCGACCAGCCGGGATTGTCAAAGTCGTATTTGCACACTTCCTTATACCTAAAAAAAATAAAATAAAAATAAATAAATAAACAATAATAATAATAATAATAATAATAACAATAATATAATAATAATAATACCGATAATAAACTTTAACACGGAACATTTTATCCTCCAATTTCGATTGAGTATTTCTACACTTGATAGTACGCCATGGTCAGGAAGACCTGGCTACGTGTCATAGGGTGTTTTTAAAAATGAATTTTTTTTCTCCCTTTTCAAAGACAATATGCCTTTCCAAGTCATCCTGATCAGCATCACTTTGTTTCAGTCATCCGGAAACTGGCCGTTTTTTCTTTTCTTTTTTTTTTTTTTTCACAACGCTTAATTCACCATTGTCACATTGCGATGATACAACTGGTTTAACCCCAACCCGCTCCTCCCCCACCCCCCTGCCCCCCCCAACAAACAAAAAAAAAATCCAAAAGCATTGACTTTAATTTCTTTTGGGACGACTGTAAATACCCAGGAGAAACTGGAAACTATGGTTATACACAATTTTGCGGGGTACACGAGCAATGGACTTTCCGGTAAGATTAAAAATTCACCGGGTCTTGAAAGCGATTCAAGGATTTTTGAAACCCCGTTTGACCTGATTTTCGGCTCGGGCGAATTACTTTAATTTTAAATAATTCTCTTGGATCGTTACAGTCAAAAGTGAAAACAATCTCCATTTTTATCGTACCATTCTAGACCACTTATTACCATATATCAACCGCTCTTGTACTTATCTCGTCCGGATTCAACTCATAAGGGGTGCAAAACTTTGCTAAGCTCTCCCCCTGTCCTCCTGTATCATCTGTGTGCACAAGGCTTCCCTGAGATGCTATTCGTTCAGCGGTGGCTTGGGCATCACTGTTTAACTTAGAATTGAGCTTCAAGGCCGGTGCATCATGGATTTTGCGGTATTTGTTATGCACTTGCAAACCAGTCTGAAAGAAATCTATTTATACCAATTCATGGTCACAACAAATAGTTACCACCTGATGTGCTGCATCTTACAGGAGCTTGCAAGTTGATCGCTGGTTTAAGTGTTGTTCACTAGCTAGTTGAGATAAAGCTGATTATTTATTTGAACAGCTTGAAACAGAGGCTGCAAACGGTTTCCTGTTCAAACTCGCACCTTTTTGAGATTATAAGGCTTCAGTATTGTTTTGTGTTTTTGGAAATTTTTGGTCCAATTTAAAGCCTTACAAAGGTTAGATTTTATTTATTTCGAATCCAAAAATTTTAGGTCTCCTTTTCTACGAAATTAACAATTAATGAATGAGGCTGAGTATCTTATGAAGATTTATGGAGATCGAGGAGGGTGTTATCTGTGGAGGCCATTGGCTGAGGCGGATAACACCCTTCGAGATCTCCATAATTCTTCATATTATACGAAAGCCGAATTCAATAATTGTTTTATTATTCATTCAAAATAATTCCTAGTTTAAAAACATGGCTAAACATGCTTACCTCCATCGATCCATCAATGTTAAGTTCATCTTCGATAGCGCACGTTTAGGGTCGTTCAGCTCCGCAAATATTCTTCAAATAGCAGATGCTGTCCTTCGAGTTGTCTTCTTTCTGTTCTTGCCATGTCTTTAGCTATTTTTCCGCCTAGTTCTTACTCTTGAAACGAGTAAAATGTTCGCCATTTTTCAAGGTCACAACCAAAACAACTCAACCTCGTCTCCAGGTCTTCTCGGTTAACGGTACATTAACCTGTGGAAGGCTGCATTTTTGACGTCATTTCCTCGTTAAACACAAAATTCTTCCAAATTTGGTCATCAGTAACTGGTTATGGTGAATTATATGCGCGTGCTTTTAGCTAATCAGAATTGGGGAAATATTTTGAATGAATAATAATATCTTTTAACAGAAGGAGTGAAATGTGAAAAATTAAACTTCAGAAAATCTTAGGAAATTTTATATATGAGGTCTCTTTTTCGAAAATCGTACATGTACATGAATGGTACGATCATCGAGAAAGGTTTAGCCGACGTAGTCAAGAACAATCGACAACTTGTGACTCCAGTGCAGTGCAACATTTAAGCAATAGAAAACGTTTTCCGTGTTTGCATAGCCTGATATAAACACGAGAGGGGTTGGGAGAATTCGAGACAGTTATGCAAATCCGAGACGAATTGAAGTCGACGGTTTGCATAACGTCGAGAATTCTGTCAACCTCTCAAGTGTTTATATCAGGCTATGGAAATACAGGAAAAACGTTTTATATTGCTTTTATAAATTAACTTTTCCTAGAAAAGTCCTGCTAGCGTAATCAATTTTTTGTTTAGCAAAAAAAAATGCTTTCCAAAATACGGATTTTTCTCGCTTAAAACGTCAGCTTAAGCGAAAAAAATTTGACAGAGCATGTTTCTTAAGATTTTCCAAGTTTCAGCCGAGGCGGAAATGGGTAATTAAAGTAAACTTGCCGACTTTTCAACTCAAAAACGTCTTCAAATTCTTGCTTGCGCGAATAGCGCGCGAAAAGCAAAACGCTTTGACGTCACAATCATTTATTTGTTTACATACTCTTATGCAAACACACCTCTCGGCCAATCAGAGCGTGTGTACTAGCTTTTTTATCTAAAATATTTGATATCTTACTACTACGACCAGAATCCTTGAGGGTTTTGCTTTCCTCTGTACGTTAGGACCATTTGTAATTTGAATCTCGTTGTGATTACCAAATTTAGATATGAATGGAAAAACGAAAAGGTACCGGTCGATTGTAGTAGTACAATGACGCCATCGTGCAAATATGGCGTATTTAAAACACATTACTGAAAGTAAATTGTAACATTAATTGGTACAGTTATCGATACAACATTTGTTTAAAAAAAATGCGGACGAGAAATTTACTGTCAAATAAATGAAGGAAATGAGCAATCTAATCAAGATAGGGAAACTGTATTAGCCTTCTCTATACCTTCCGTCGTGGTAACAGCTTCTGTTGGTCTCGTACTTTTGGCGGTAGTCGTTTCACTCTCTTCAGTAGTTGCTGTCCCTCCCGCCGTCGTAACAGCCTCTGTTGGTGTGGTACTTTTAGCGGTAGACGTTTCAGTCGGCTCAGTAGTTGGTGTCACCTGAGTCGAACTTGTTGGACTTTTTGCTGTGGTTTCGGTAGCAGCTGTTGATGAAGAGGCGGGAGACATGGTCGGTGAGGATGACGTCGAGTGTGGAGTACTTGTGCTACTCGCGGTTGGCTTATCTAGCTGGCAAAGACTGTTCAGGATACATGATGGACACATCAGCGGGGAAACGCATAGATTTCCTGTCTTCGATACTGTGTCATAAACAAGCTGTCCTTTTATGGGAATTCGGAGGGATCCCGAATACCCTGCGGGAATACAGACCGGCAGAGAAATTAGGACAATAGGTCTAATACATTGTTTGCATGGTTAAAAAGATGAGTAACTTACCCCTGGGAATAAAACTTAACAATACGAAAAACCAATGAGTACATAACAACCTCGTTGTTTTGACTTCCGACCTGAAGATTAAGAACAAAGAAATTATACCATTTTGAAAAAAAAAAAGAAAACAGGCAAGCAAAAATGACAGTTGTACAACGAAGTGAGAAACAAAGCCTTTCTGATGCTGAACTCGATATTTGTTCCACGAAAATGCATGCGCGGACTTCCCTCTTCAATTGTACGGATAAATTCTTAACCTCAACAGACACCAAGAGAGCAAGGCTACCATGCACTTTGATTCAATAAATAAAAAACAAAATCCATGAAATTTTAGCAAAAGCTAATGTGAGTTTTCGAAAACCAATAAAAGCCAAAACGACAGCATAAATCCTTTTGTTGAGAGCCCAAATTTCTGATGTCAATAACTAAAGTAAAAATATCGACCTCATATCTTTTAAACGATTCGTTTAAATGTTATCAATATGATTGACTCAACAAGAAAAGAGATAGCCAGAAATAATAACCAAAAAGCAAAACGGGCCGAAAAAGTAAAGTTTAACAGACGAGAAGAACATATAAGCAAGAAACATTTCATCGATATCAAAATAAACTACTTACATTTCGCAGCTTTCTAAATGTAAACAGGAAATATTTCCATTTCACTTTTTATCTGTCAAGAAGGCTCCTCCCACAACAATGAAGTAGGGTTGATGTACCTGCTAAATTGCGGAGGATTTGATTTAAAAACAAGTGGAATTTTACAAGAGTTATTTACGCCAACGTTTCTCTTAGCAAGGGTTATTTGATAGGCTATAAGCATTAATGCTGCTCCCTGCATGAACGACTTATTAAAGGAAGAAAAGACTGGTGGAAGGGAGGAAGGAGGGAAGAAAGAAATTAAATTGTTTCCATCTTTGCGTGTCTGAAGCTTGTTTCGGTGCCGTTTAGCGGTTTACATTTCGTTATTGGTCATCTTAAGCTTGAAAAAAGTTTCCCTGCGAGCATCATGTAAAGCTCTCAGATGGAACAAAGTTAATACGATTCGCAGAACCTGCCTCCTACAATATCTTATTTTGATAGACACTTGGTGTTTTACTGGAAAATATACCACTCGTAAAATTCATAAAATCTACATCCGGAACCCGAGTGGATTATTTTCCGTAATCTCACACTTGAGTTTATCGATGACGTAATTTCGGTAATAGTAGACGATCATGAGGTATACCACTGGCTGAGCTGGTGAGTGTTTGTTGTATAAGGGACAGTCTGATGTCATTGCAGATACCTTGATGTGGCACGTGGAGCGTCATGGCGGATGGCAGCATGAAGTAGGTTCTGTAATATCGATGCTATGTCAATAATAATCTCGCTCCTGGCAACATTAAGAATATGTTCACGAGACTGTCTTCTGTCCACAGTTACTGGACTAGATTTGTTACTAATGAAAATTACTATGTTGAACAAGTTAGAACTGAAAATAACAAGCAAGCCTTCTCTATTTCCGGTGCTTTGATTTGGAACAGTATTCCACTTTCTATCAAAACACTTAAAAGCAAATTAATTCAAAAGCGAACTAAAGAGAAAACTCTTTGAAATACTGGAAAAAGAGGACTACTATATCAGAGTTTCTGATATTACAGGGCAATTCTCAAATTCCTAACATGGTGTACTTCCGTATGAAGTACAGTCTGCCTTCCTGTCTCACTCTTGCTATAAACCACACGACAAACTAGATTGCTTCTAGGATTGTTCGTTTAACATATATATATATATATCTACCTGGAGTTATGAAAACCGGGTTAGCAAACATTTTGTAATTTTTCTCAACGTCCGCTGTCTAATAGCTTGTTTACTGTGTTGTTTGCTTATGTCGTTTGTTTTTTTTGGCTTGTCTTGTGGTTAGAGATTTGTGTAGAAGTGGATGTAGACAGAATTACTATCTACCCCTCCCCCCCTCTATTTTTTTCCCTACCCACAATTCTTTCTTTAACACAAGTGACAGTTATCAGTTTGAAATCAGCGGGCGCTTAAGGCTGGTTTCGGTGCTGTTTAGCAGTTTAGTTTTATATATTGGTCACCTTGAGAAAAGTTTCCCGGAGAGCATCATGTAAAGCTCTGAGATGGGACAAAGTTATTACGATTCGCAGAGTCTGCATCGTCCAATATCGTATTATATTCTCGTTTCATTTGGCTAAACGGATTAATCTCCCTGATCCGGGCTGAGACAGAAAGGTACGATATTGTTCGCTTTTCTAAGGTGACCACTAAGTCTTTGGCCTCGGGGACAGGCTCTTAGGAGTCAAATGAATTAGTTGAGAGGAAAATTGCAGCTGAACTTTGACCCGGGCCAAGACTTAGTATTTTTCTGGTGTGAAAACAAGGCTAAGGTGATCCGCCGACCGTGTGACTCTACATCCGGGAACTTGAATAAGACGAGTGTAAGAGAAAGGTCCAGAGGTGTTTATCTGGCAATAGGCTGAGTTTTTCCGAGTTATTCGATGATATTTCGCTTATGTTAAACGTGAGAAGATTATGCGTGGTTGTGGATAGTCTTATCAGTGCCGCGAAAGTGTGTGATTGTGTGATTTCCGCATGCTGTTGACAGGTATGTGATTGCGTGGTTGAACTGCGGTTTCGCCAAAATATTCTGTGCCAGCCATTAATATTGTTTCGTCGGTGTTTAGCTTAGCTGATTGTACCTTGGAAAAGCAACTCTCGACTCAGGAAAATTAGATCTAGGTCTAGTTTCAGCAGGCTCTAATGGCATTGCACCATTGGCCGGTTTTTGCAGACAAGAAAGTGATAATTTGTACACTATGTTTCATTCAGTTTGTAGTCTATTCCATGCGGAATCCTGTTGTTTATCGGACCGCCCAAAAAGTAGTGTTTTGCTAACTATTTAAGTTGTTATGTAAGCCTTAACCAGGCACTCTTTCGCTGCAGCTCACTCAACTTAAAAAGTTCTAGACTGAAATGACACCGGTTTGAAACTTCGCGAAGTCAGTTTACTGAATAAATGTTCTAAAATTTGCGTCATTCTAAATTTGGACTCGTTGGAATGCTTCTAGGGACCATTAACGCACTGCCCGGCGTCATATAAAGGCTTTTAATCGGCCTTTGAATGAGTTTTGTTGTTTTAAATTACCAAGTAATAGAATGACTTGATATTTTTGCTAACCCGGTTTTCAAAAATCCAGGTATATATATATATATATACAAGTTTGTTTTCTCTTGTACCCGCCTCGAATAGCCTTCGCTAATTGCGGACACAAGCTTTGTAAGCTATATTTAATTTGAAATAAACTTGTTTTTGTTGTTGTTGTTGTTACCCTAACCAAGAGAATGCACTCGGGTTCGCCTTAGTGGCGTGAGTGGATGGTCTGTAACACTTCATTCCTCATGTCCTCTGGCACGACTATCTATTATTTTATCGATGTCTTTTTGTCTATATGATAAAAAGAACATCACACGGCGGCTTGAAGATATGAATTTTATTTTCTCGTGGCAAAAACAATATTTTACTCACTCGCGGCGCTAGTTCGTAAAGGATTGTTTTGCCACTTCGAGCATAATAGGCCATTTTTGGCCATTTTGCATATTCTGGGGCCTGGGAACGAGTCTGAGAGGGAGCTGGGAACAAGCGCTCGAGCAAAAACAAGGTGGGAGAACCAAACCCGGAATAGAGTGTTTTCACATGACGTCACGGCGGCCATATTGGTGTCCCAAAACAATGAAACGGCGGCCATGTTGGTGTCCCAAACCAGTCCTCTGGGAGTTGAACTCTTTTCTTATGCAAACTCTTTCCTTTGTCCCAATAAATTTGCATATATGCTGGCCACGTGAGTGAAAACACTCTATTGGTAGAATTTACTGACCATGACGAAGGACTCAGACTCTTTGGATTATTACAAGCTATGTAGGCCATGTTAGTTTTAAGGAATAAATAATAAATGAACATATTTAACAATTATTCTTCCAGCCCGAATGGGCTCTGGGCTATTGACTCAGAGGCCATGAGGGCGAGAGCGAGACCCCTTCAGTTACCTGGGTTTCTGAGTACTTCAGACAGGATATCGATATTGGCCAGTTCATTCTCCTCGGATGAAACCTTAAAAATCGGCGGTAATTATTATTTCTAATGCCCGGAAACTGGAAAAGAAATTAGCCAAACCATTTTCCAGAAAACATACATTTTTGTTATTAAAAAATCTGACCGATTTCCGTAAAACGGTGGAAACCGGTATGGATCGGCGCCTGAGATTCGCCCAAATTTTAAGGAAGCTAGAAAAAAATGCACATAAAATCTTTTCCATGGCATTTAATAATATTGCATAGCATTTACTATGCAAAAAAACATTGTACAAATTTTATTCCCAAAGAAGGTTGAGAGGGCCAAAACCTATGAGTAAGGGCAAGAAGTCACTATTTGGAGTTGGATTCTTGACCATTACACTTACAGTTCTTATATGATCTTCAACTTACGCTGACCTCCAGTCTACAATTTATTTCCACGATGAGACTGCTTCAACCTCGGTGAGCATTTTTAATTACCGCTTTGCTTGGTTTTTGGCGTTTTCGTTTCTAATCTTTCGTTTCTAGTATGCTAGCTTATGAACAATATAATTTATCCCTCTTTGCGATCGAGCTTTAAAATTCAATAAGACACTGTCGTTCAGTTTATATTTTAAGCTATTTAGAAAGGTTTCGAATGCTTCATTGGAGACAAAACTAAATTAAGAATAATGATCAAGACATGTATAAGTCAGCGTATGATCCATTTGAAAAACAAAACAGTAATCCTCCATGCCACCTTGTTGTCTTCAGTGGAGCGCGACTACTTGAATACTGTGTAAGTGACATTACCATAACCGCACACCCACAACAAAATATTCTCTCCCTTATAAATTCGTCATTCATGAATACGGTTCAGTGATGTTAACGTTTGACAACAGATCCAGATGAGTAGGACACTGAGGATCACCATAATTTTTTTCTGGACTCCATCTCTTACTATTTTAAATGCACGCACTTTTATTCCATTAATTAATTAGCTTTTACTGACGAAACATAATAATATATATTGGTGCTTACTTTAGCATTGAAAAACGAATAGGTAAAAAATATAACAATACCGAAAATCTTGATCAAAAACGATTTCTTAAAACATAAGCAAGCGAATATTAATATTATTATTATTATTATTATTATTAGATTTTAAAAAGAAAGGAACAATGAAGGTTCACTCACATCGCTTCAACAATTTTCTTTATGGCCTCTCTGGCCTTGCCCTCTTTACAGAAAAGGACAAAAATGTTTTCACCGTTCAAGACCAAGATCAAATCAATGAAAGAAGAAAAGTGGAAAAACAAAGTACTGCATCACCTGCAGTACCCAAGGATCCTAGAAAAGCCTCATGTAGACACAGCCACCACCAAAAAATGGTTGTCAAGTAATCGGAAAGGCGAAACAGAGGGGCTACTGGTAGCAACTCAAGAGCAGGTAATAAACACCAGAAACTACCAGCTACCAATATGTGGCCAGCAAGTGGAGAGCAAATGCAGTATGTGTTCGCAACATGAAGAGAAAATGATGAAATGATTGTGAATCAGCTGTCCCTAACAGCCTTTGCGAGTTTGACGTGGCTGTGCACATGCATAAGGTATTGGCAAGATTGGCAAAATTGAAATCCCTTGGGAACGTGTCTTGATCTGGCAAACAACTAGATCAATAGTTTGCATCAAAAAATGCTTTCAAAACTGCTGAGCCTCAGGAAAACGTTAAACACTTTCCTGTGATGAAGTTTTTGTTCGTAAGTCATTGTCCGGTTTATCGCATACAATTTTAAGACGCAAAAAACAACAACGCGTGTCTTGGGGTAGTCCACTACCTTACAAGAAGCTCTAAATTAAGTGGTCATCTAAACCAATATTGCTTGTTGCGTTGAGGTTATTGTTTGTGTGGTTATCCTATTGCTTCCACAGCCAATTGTGTGAGCCGTTTAGTGAGGTGCTATTTGACCGTGTCCTGTCAATGATCAAAGACTAGTATTTTCAGGGATAGAAGTCATAAATTACCATCTTTTTGAAAGGATGCCTCTAGAAGCATAAACAAGATGAGCTTTCAATAACGAACCTGCGATCAAAAAGGAAAAAAAAAAACAGTTTAAGACACGTGACAAGCAAACTAAAAGGCATTTTGGTCTCTACAAATTATTTCAGTTTTTAACCATCGGTGCGAGCAAACTCATACCCCCAAAAGGGCCTGGGGAGACGTGGGTGGATGATTGGACTGTCCTGAGGATCAGTCCAATTCTTAAGTTTCCTCCTTTTTACCATTGTTTATTCTTCTAGCAGGAAACATTATGCACCTTCGTTATTCGTTATATAAGCGAGCCAAATCCGAGGTGGGAAGATTCCCTTTCTGGAAACAAGACAAACAACAGCAAAACGACAGACAACTTCATTAATCATAAGAACACCTGAAGTGAGCCTGTGTCTGGGTAACGGCACAAAATGGCGTTGTGTCCACAGTTTGAGTTCCCAATAACTAACTGTGTTGTACATTTTTACTGTGTTTCACCCTTATAGACGCCATTATGAAACACCAAACTTAGCAGCGAATACAAAGCAGTGAACTGCCGAAGAATTAACAAAAATGGAGTCCACACAGGGACAAAAAATTAATTATATTCGGGTGTCCACCATTGCGCGCCCGTATTTCCCCTTCCCCTACCCTCCCCGGCCCCCTGCCCTTTTAACAACCACCCCCTCTTGTACGTCCGAGGGTTAATAATTATTTCGTTTAACCACAAATAAATCTTAAAATTTCGCCTCATGTCGCAAAACTTTGCCTTAGTCCATCTCCCAAAAATTTCACAGATATACTGTATTAACTTAAAAATACAATCCTGGTCTTGGTAAAGGTTGCTCTCAATAGTGTATTATTTGGTGTTGACAACAAATTTCGGTCACGAAAAAGTCTAATCCCAATTAGTTCGGGGACGGTGGAAAGCAGGGAGGGTAGGGGAGAAGGGTTGCGTTTCTCATGTTCTGATGTGTTTTTGCTTCAGCATCGTTTCCGTGATACCAGCAAGAAAATCCAAAGTCTAAAGCTAAACATTTTTTGCGTATTTTACATAACCAAAAGGAGCTAAAAGTTTAGTTGTAATATGATATTTTAGAAACTAGCCAGCAAGTAAGAGCAACTCGTTCTTGTCTAAATCTTTGTCATCTGATGCCACAATAGTAGTCTATTAACGAAAAAATGACAGTCCAATCAGCAGTTCAGTTTAACCAATGACAGCTGGAACAATTACTTTATTTGTTTACCGTTTACAAGCCATCAGTATGATAACGCTTAGGAATTAACAAAATGTTTCTTCTTCTTCTCTTTCAGAAGCTCTATTTTTATAGCAGAGTCCTGGGTACGAGAACCTGAAACACCAACTGCGGCCAATGGAGTTCCGGTGGCGTGGGATTTCCCACTTTTATCAAAGAATTTCCGTTTTTTGGAAGTAACAGAGCTGCAGTAATTCTCTCGGTTAAAGTTTCCTTCTTTCACGTTGTTTGTGAATTGACCGATCATGTTTCCTGCTGGTTTATATCTTCCGACAATGTACGCACACTTCATACCATTTTGGGTTGTTTCAGCTCTCCCTATACCAAGCTGAAGACTTCCTTCCCAAACCACTTGAGTGAAATGACCAGTTCCTGAGGAAAATCCTCCATTATTGAAATCATAACCAGGGTTACAGACTTCATTATACCTAAAATTGGAAACATTGTTGTAGGAATATAGTCGTTAACACACTCCAAACCACTTATATCAGCTCAAGGACTTAACAAAACCTGCTCAAAGCCGCTTTGATTGTAAATAAAAAGGAGTTGGTGGAAACGCCTGTTGTCAGTTACCGATAAACCATTTGTCAGCTGTCAACGGGATATCGTATCGTTATCGTTATCCTTCTCCTCATTCTTAGCAAGGGTGGCGCAGTGGTGAGAGCACTCGCCTCCCACCAATGTGGCCCGGGTTCAACTCCCGGCGTCGACTCCATATGTGGGATGAGTTTGTTATTGGTTGTCTCCCTTGCTCTGAGAGATTTTTCTCCGGGTACTCTGGTTTTCCCCTCTCCTCAAAAACCAACATTTCCAAATTCCAATTCGATCTGGAATGGACGGACACGTTTAAACGAGTTTATATGAACTCCTATGTGCTTCGTGGGTAAACAAGCGATTTACGATTTACAATTTACAATTTTTTTGCAATCCTTTCCCTTTTCTTTCTCTTTCTCCTTATCACTATCATTGTCATTAAGGTAGCTGAACACAGTTTTGGCAGTTTATTATTGTATGTCATTTGCCAAATCATGGCAAGAGAAATGTTCAGCTCACAAGCTGTAACTTGGCAAATATACTTGAAAATATACTGATGAAAGATTTTGATTGATAGGTAAAATTTTACATTTTCGTAGTTTCCATGGTAACATGAACGATTGAATACAACCTTAAAATTTCACTTTTGAACGGTTTGCATAAAATTCACTCATTAGATTTTCCTATAAACTTGTACACATCTTACAGTACTATAATTAATCATTACCATTTGAAACTTATTTGACCAAGATTTAATGACCGGTTTTTAGATAATAATATAATTGCACTGTAATTATTAAATGTGTCACAAAACTCATCTGTTCAACTTCCACTTTAAAGTTCTCATTATTTAAAATACGATGAAAGGAAGAATTCTGCCAAATATCACAAAATTTTAATGAGTTGATTTTGAGAAGTCGTCTTCTGTGTACCCTTGCTTTTTTCGCCGCCATATTTGGATTGTCTAATTTAAAACACGCGCCGTCAGGCGAGTTACCGCTAACCGCCCGCAAAACTGTGTGCAGCCCCCTTAATCACCGTCATTATCACCTTCATTATCATTATTACTATCATTACGATAATATTACTGACCAATTTGTAACAGCGTCGTCTACAGTCTGTGCAGCTTCCGTGGCACAGCCGAACGAAAGGTTTTCCCCATCTCCATCTCTTTCATCGCGCGATGAGTGTTGAAATGTTCCACTTTGAGCTAGTGTTTCTGCGTAAGCTTGGGCCATGTTGCACATCGTTTTGTTTAATGTCATAGCCGGACCTTGGTGTATTTGACGAAATTCATTGTGCATGGCTAAGCCTTGTTCTTCTGTTAGAGTGAATTCTTCTTCTCGTTGTTGTGTTAAAAAAAAGAAACAAAATTACAACCAAATATTCATTTTCTGTAAAATTAGCGTGCTTTATGTGAGGGTCTGAGACAATATATACACATTAATAACTATTCTTTAACTTTGTAAATAGAGAACTTTTCCGGCGCATCTTATGGAGAAGAGAACCCTATTATGGTAGGACCAAACTCTTTAGTGAATTGCGATATTTCATTTCATTTCTCAGTCCGGAATATCCCTAAATTTAAGGACAGGGCCAACTGGTCACGCGACACTTTTCAACCAATGAGAAGGCGCACTTGTGTTTATCAACAAACAAATCAAAACATCGCCCCAGTGATCAAAAATTTTCAAAACAACGGACGGAGTCGGACAGAATCAGTCATCGTTTCGGGGCTCTCAGGCATATTTTTAAGACTTTTCATGGGGCATACACAATTTTTTTAAGTGGACAGCGTATCGGAAGCTATATTGGAAGTGTCTCGTGAAATATTCAGCACATTTTGTGGCTTATTTCTTCTTTTATCTTCTAAACAACGCGATGTATAGGCGAGATTTTGGTCGGTTTTCAAGGTAGGTGAAGAAGGATCTATTATTTTTTCGATTCACAGATTTTTTTTACGAAGTTCTACATATTTTTCCTCGATTGTCATATCGATTAACTTTTATCATGTTGAATGTAGGGATGGCAGACAGCCTAGAATTTTGGTAGACAACTTTTGAATTCCGAGGTCCAAAACACGCACGTTTTCCACTCCCGGGTTTCTCACAGAGCCGTGTTATTACTTTTTTTCGCATTAGTACGAGCCTTTGACTTTTTTCTTTTCTAGGCCTAAGCAACTTTATTAGTCTTATAGATATTCACGTCCAACATCTCGCCTCACTTTGCCGAATTTGCGGGGATGAAATTGAAGATCATAAGCGCAAGGTAGATACTAACCGCTTTGTTTCTGAAATTCACTAATCTGGAAAGATTTAATGTTGTTGGATTCTCAAATGTTCATCCACCGTTCAAAAACAATCAAAGAAACAAGGCAAATCTCAATTATAAATGATGTGTTTCGCTACTCATTGAACATGCACTGATTATCTGGGATAAAATTAAAACATTGCAGGTACTACAGCAGGCAAAGAAAGCACCAGAGGCGTGAAGTCAACGCGAAACAACGCGAAAAAACAAACAAGAAAAATTAAAAAATTTATACTACTTTCTATTCTTGTTATGATGACTGGTTCTTTGATACTTGTCCTGTAGAAGTTAATGGGTAGTACCAATCCTGTTTTGTACAATCTCAACAAATTTTCACACTCTCTTACAGGCTATTTTTTACACGGGACCAGTTTGCTTTTATCAAAAATCTTGCAAGCCATGCCAGTGAAGCCACGACCTCTGCGATCGGTCCGGAATCAGTTCGAACACCCCAATGATTCCTTGCAATGATTAATGCTCTTATTCTCTAACATGAAATGTTTTCTTTGAAATACTAAATGTGAAACCTAGACGAGTACTGTAAGCTCATCTTTAATTCTGTCCGACTCCGTCCGTTGTTTTGAAAATTTTTGATTACTGGGGCGATGTTTTGATTTGTTTGTTGATAAACACAAGCGCGCCTTCTCATTGGTTGAAAAGTGTCGCGTGACCAGTTGGCCCTGTCCTTAAATTTAGGGATATTCGGACTGTTTCTGGTACTCTTCGATTCTTATTCGTCCTGGGTGCCCACGAAAATATCCCACAATAGAGTAACTTGCGATAACCATGTTATGATTTCTAAATATAATAATATATTGATATATATAACTGAAAAACTCTTGTTCGAGACTCACGTTTCCTGCTGATTAGGATTGAAATTGGTATACATTAATGAGGCTTTTACATAGATTGTGCTCACAAAAGTAGCCTTACATTAATGTAAGCAGTGCTCGCATATTTGTAAAATTATGCCAATAACTAACAGGTGTGTGCTAATTTTTGTAAATTACGCTCATTTTAGCAAAAAGGGCAGAAATTATGCCTCTCCTTTTGACTTTAAATTTGGTAAAAACACCTCAATAACTATGAAATAACCTGATCATCTTGACAAGCTTCTTTGCCATTTGCAGAAAGAAAGATAGAAGCGGATTCAAGCCAGACATAATGGTCAGTTTTTAATAAACTCCATGAATGGTCACATTGGCGAGCAAATACTTATAGTGATCTTAGTTTTGACTGAATAAACTCGGCGCTTGGTGCATTTGCAATTTGATTTTGCTTTCAAATGCAAGCCTTTGTAATGTGCTATTGTTTCCATGAGCGAATTTTCTGTCGCCTGTCAAAATGACTTACAAATCGCTTGTTCTGCACTTGTTTAGTGTCCCCTAGATAGGAAGCCAGATAATAATAAAAATCTTATTAGCCTCGTTTCCTTCGCTCCGTACTTATTGATTGCATAATCACTAAGTGATAAGTTTGTGCCACAAAATATTGCGAATTATGTTAGCAGTGTTTTTTTTCGGAAAGTAGAAGAAAATTTTGCCCGTAATAACGAATTACAACAAAAATTAAGCTTAAGTAGAATCTATCAAAGCCTAATAGTAATCCTGATATTCCTAATAGATTTGAAGTAACTACGAAGTTTGTCAACTTATCATGAACTTGCACATGGGGGCTTGCTCGTTTGTTGGCTTGATAAGTAGATTGTTTGTTGGCCTTTTTACATACATGTAAGAAAAACGAGACACTTTCACTTTAGCTATCCTTTTCATAAGTCCGAAACCAGATTTTAAACAAATGTACTTTTGGTTGGTTGAAGTAAATTCTCAAGCAATCAGAAGCACTACCCAGACCTGGGTAGTGACGCGTCATCAGTATAAAATGTCTACGTTAATTTCTTAGATGTCATTTCGAGCGGAAACCAGTGGTGGCGTCGCAGAATGTAGGCTGATTTCTCAAGCTAAGATCAACTGATCAACTTGGGTGATGTCATATATATTTTGGCCACTTTCCACGTATCAGTTTAATTCATAACTCTCACTTGCAGAGTGGGCAACGTTAATACTTAAAAATTAATGAATAAAGTTGAACATGATATGAAGAATTTAAGGACATTGAGCAGTATTTGAACTACACTCTTTTTTCATTTAAGAATATATTTTCTTAGAATATCGGGGCTGAAATTTTCGAAAATTTAAGAATATTTTAAGAATAAACCCGACGCTAAGAGTACATAAAACAGATTCAATTTTAAGTCTGAAAATCAGTAAATACAGTACAATTATTATAATTTGTGTTTTAACCTGATCGTAGAAGATTATTCGTTTCGCTAAACGGCGAGAACACTGGGTAATTGAAACCCAATACATTCTAAAGTGGAAATGCCAAAAGCTATAATTTCGCTCGAAAATAAGTCAAGAATATTTTCAGCCTAAAATCAAAAGAAAAATCAGAATGTTCAGCCTGGACCACTCTGTATTCAACTATTTACATAAAAGAGTGTACCGCGAAGCCAAAGGCTAAGGTTGATAACAGCCTTCAGGATCGGCATAATTTTTCGTATCATACTTAAGCCCAATTGAATACTTGTATGATTATTCATTCAAAATATTTCTTAGTTTTCCGTCCGTACAAACTCTCGGTCTTTCTTAAAAACGTTCGCCTACTTCTCTGCACACGTTCATATATGCAGAGATGCATTTCTTTATGTATACTCCACAAAAAGTAATCTTCATACATGTCTGGTAATATTTTTGCATGCTTTTGCAATTATACCGTTTAGCTTTAGTCGTAATTTAGATGGCCTGAAACTTGTCGCAATTTATTTACAAGACAAGACAAGCTAGCTTCTTTAGGCTGTCTCGCAGCTGACTGGAAACGAAGTTGCTCTACATTTGATTAATATACCATCGAATCGATCTTCTATTGCTAAACAATTATGTTTCAAGTAAGCGTCGGTTATGAGGAATTAGTCGGGAGATTTGGCCAACCAGAAACGGGGGAACATTTTGAATAAATAATAATAAATGATACATCATTTTCCTCAAAGGTGAGACAAAATAAAAGAAAGGCACATTGGCCATGGCGTAAGAGGTCTCCCGACGTTTTGCAGAATGGGATAGGGGGGGGGATAATTTCTCCTCAGATACTACTTAAGGGATGAAAATACTTGGCTCTTGGAGAAAAAAAAAAAAAGTGTTTAAATGTTCCCGAATAGGATGACTAACTAACTGTATGCAGAAAGAAAATTTTTCAAATTGATGACATGATGACTTGACAATTGCCAATTCCGAACGCTTTATTGTTAAACTATGTTCTCAGATAAATGCGTCTTTCACTTAATTAAAACACAAAATTAGTAATTTGCCAATCTCAAAGTGAATATTTTCGAGAAAATAGAGGTATAATGCAACTTTCGGAAACGGCATACGCATGTACATGTAAGGTGCACTTTTAGTGGGATTACTATGAAGAAAAAGAAATGTTAGCTTACATTCCCATTTCTATGGTACTGTAATTCAGTAATAATCGAATTAATTCGTTTAAAGTTACCTTCTGAGTCTGAAGAGCTTTGCGTAACCAAACTAGGTCCACCTTTGCCAGGTCTCATTTGCACGTTAGTTGTTATGGAACCATCAGCTAAAACATTGATGTTGCCGTTGACATTGTAACTTCCTGGCTTTAAAACTTGTCCATTGACTAAAAGAAGCAGCACAAGAAGGCTTGAGAAGTTAACATTGGATCTGACTGTTTCAGTAGTGTGGAGGTAATGCCCATGAGAAAATTTTATTAGATCTACATTTCAAAATACACTCTCGTTCAAGTTGACCACAAATATTATTGTAACAGAATTGAAAAGCTTGGAGAATATCATAATAGCTTACAGCTACGGTGTCACTTACTATTGCAAATCAAGTATGCCTCCAGGAACAAAAAGAAAAACCTGATTGGTAAGCCTGTTGTGATGAAAAGACAAAAAAAAGAACAAGTTACTTGAAACAGAGAATAAGTACAAAAAGGACACGATACAAACTCAAGGAGAAGCTGGACATGACAGCTTTTATGGTGTAATCTTACTTTATCCGTTAATTAACGCAAATATATAGTCACACTTTTAACTAATAACGATGAGAAAAATAAATGAAATGAATAAATAATTATGATGATAGTAATAACGTAAACAAGGAATAAATTATGTGAAAAGTCAATTCCATATGATTCATTAGCTAAGGAATCCCACTTTTAAAGCTAGTTTTGGCAAAATTATTCTTTAGAAAATTAAAGTCAAAATCGTTTGCGTGGGCTTGTTTCAACTGTTTGGTCTGGACGGGATATGACGACCTTTTGAAAGAGTATCATAAATCCGAAGTTCAGGGGAAATGGCCTTGAAATCCTAACTTTGTCACATAGATCTGAATATCTACCAGTTTCGTTACTAAAAGTAACTGGCAGGAATTCGCTGGAAATACGGCCTATATGGAGGTTCGACTCTCCTTCAGTTTGCGGTTTTAGTATTTCGACTTGTTTATTAACGCACTATTATATTACAAAAAACAAATCAATAATAGTAATTAATAATAGTAATAATAAGTAATGGTAACAGGACTGGGTGGAGTCCAATTCGGTCTGTAATCGTAAGAGTGATTAACACTCGATTTGTTTAATCACGATTATGATTACAGACCGAATTGGACGATACGAAGTTCTGTTGCCAGTTAATCATAACTTTAACCAAATGTGTGATATATAAGGCTCTCTTTTAAATCAAAACACAGTCAAGGAATTCCAAGATTTTTTTGCTAGCAGTGAAAAAAAAAAAGAAAAGCCATTTAAGCGCGCGCGATGGCGCGTACTATCCAATTAAACTGTCCTATTAAGGCTGAAATCAGGGCAGCCGATAGCCAATCAGATTTGAGAATTTTGTTGTAGTTATGATTATAGTAATAGTAATAATGATAATAATAATAATTATAATAATAATAATAACCATTTAGTAGAAAAATATTCATCCATTTACAGTCTTAGCTTAGAATAAATTGATGGCTCTTGTGTACAATCTGGCATACTTCTAGAGGGAATTGCTGTCTATAGGACTTAAAACTGATACAATAGCCCTTCATACTTCCTAATTAGTGCTATGATTCCGACCTTCATTCACCAGTCTTTCGAATTTCGAAAACAAAAACATGCACGAAAGCAATAATCTACATACTTCCTCCGTACAGATAGAATTTATGTAAATAATTAGCGAGGAAAAACCCTTTTTCTTTTTCAAAAAAAAAAAATTAAAAAATAATGAATAAGTTATATTTTCTTTTCTAACATGTCTTAGCTGCTTGTTCGAGTTGTTCCTGCTTTGAATTGATATGAATATATCTCTTCCTTTTTACGCCAATACGTTGAATAGATGCGTCCCAGGTGGTTCTAAAGAAGAAAATGAGAAAGTAAAGCAATAAGACTTAAATTAATGGTTGTAAGTACATATTGTTGGAGAAAAATCGAAAGGGTTTAATTTTACTCACCAAAGCTATCGCCTGTCCGCCTCAAAATGATTTGCCATCTGTTCGATTACTTTCACTGTTAAATATCTGCTTCTGAAAGATACGGTTGGTAGTTTTCCCCGCCCAATTGGAATTGTATAACATGAATAGTACTTGCGCACTGTTCTTTTCAGTCTGTACAAAGCTAATCCACTCCCTTTCTCTTTAGGCCATATCGATGATACCATCCTGAAGAAGGAAATATGAAAACGCATTTAAAAAATTAGATTTAAATTAGTGGTTAATGATTCCTTTTACTGTTAAATTACTGCTTCTGAAACATTTCGTTGGTAGTTTTCCACGCCCAATTTGACAAGCATTACATGAGTACCATGAATGGTACTTGTACACTTCTTTTCTTGTCAGTCCATTACACAGATATCGTGTAACCTGATCCTCCCTCTTTCTCCTTTAGCCAAAAACTTTGTTGCGGTTCTATAGCTAAAAATATAAAAATAAGTCTAAAAATAATTGTTGAAATTGGATATGGGAAAAGAAAAATCCAAAATGAATATTTTTGCTCATCACAGCTATCACTTATTCGCTTTAGAATAATTTCCCGTGGGAGGGATTTCTTTTATCGCTAAATATCTACTTCTGAAACATTCGGGTGGTAGTTTTGCACGTCCAATTTGACAAGCATTACATGTGTACCATGAATGGTACTTGTACACAATTTTCTTGTCATTCTCGCAGAAAGGGTGAATGTAAGTACCTACAATACGTTGATGTGGATCTATAGGAGAAAATAAAAGGAATAGATTTTAATTGATGGTTGAATTGCCTATGGGTAAAGGAAAAATCCACAGAAATTGCTTGGGTACGCCCAAAAAAAAATTCGTGTGTGCGATAACTTCCATTTTTAAATATCTGTTTCCGAGGGTTGGTAGTTTTTCACGCCCAATTGGACATATGTTACATGGGTACCTTGAAAGGTACTTGTACACGTTTTCTTGTTACCTTAAGCGTGAGACAGTGTTCACCTAATTCTCCCTCTTCCTAATTACTCCAAAACATTGATGGGGTTAAGAATGGAAATTGAAAATAATGGTCTGGTGTAAATAGTTATAGTGTTTGAGATGACCTCTATGGAGCAAGACTCGGTCTTTTAACTTAAAAGAAAAAGTGAGTACATTTTTGTTTGGTTACCGGTACCGGTCAGAACTGTTTAAAGTGTTTATGGCGAGGCTTATTAAAACTGAAATTGATCCTTAGGTAAGTTTAATCAACAAATCTGAACTTTAAAAATTTGTCTCCAAAAACATTTTGGTCGACACAAAACAACAACAACAACAACAACAACAAAAAAAACAAAGCAAAAAGACAAAAATGTCTCAGAGAATTGCAACGAGTAAAGAATCAAAGTAAGGCTGGTGAATTCAGGTGACTTCATTTAATTTACTCAGCTTTCGCTTCCGATTCTGGTCATTGCTTTATGTTTTGTGGAAATAGGTGATGTATTTGACTGTAAAAAAGTGTAGCGAAGCAATTGAAGAACGTGAAGATGATTGTAAAGTTGCCAAGGTCTTGTTAATTCCAAGCGAAGAGAGTTTATATCGCACGTGAACTATGCGTGGTCTTAGTCAGCTGAAAAATTGGATGCCCCGTCTTTCTTTCTATCTTTCTTACTATGAATACATGTATATGCTTGGTGTCGGCCAATGACGTTATGCAACGTTACGTCATGGAGCATTTTGTGTTTCCAGGCAACGCAGACTTTACCGCCGATGACCTGGGCGCCAAGTGTCACTCCTGTATAAGTCTTTAAACTACATCTAACTTCCACGATTATACTCAAGGGGAAAGGCCAATGTCTTGTGGCTAACTGTCCCAATTCAGATTTTCTTGGATTTTTAATTTGCTCTAAAAGACGATACTGAAGATCATGACCGATGGGTTATAATAGCAGTCACAGTGACGGTGCAAGAGTTTCCTCCAACAACCGCTGAATTAGACAGTGTAAGAAATGAGCGTTCTACCAGCAGAAAAATTGATGAAGAAAATGAGATGGCTAATGATGATGACAGAGAAGCTGATTCATCCAAACCTCCAATTCCTGATTGCAACAATGCCTTTTCAGATACATCTAAAGGGGGCCAGAAGCTACCAAGATCGCTTTCTCCATCATAGATGCTTGCTTAGCATAGATTTGTATGTAAATGCATTATTCTCAATTAAGCTTCTATTGTACTAGAAACACCAGTGACTGGCATTTTCCACATAATTATCAAAAACTTTTGCAGACATTTTTTTTAAGAAGTTGACACCCCAAAAAATTGTTTCATAAAACAATTGGTGATGAATATATAGTAAAAATATATGAATCGCTTTTCATTTGGTCAAAAAGTTAAACGCTAAAAGATTTTTAAAATACATTTAAAAAAGTGAACGACGTTTCGGCGCTACTTTACGCCATTATCAAGTTGAAAAGTGAAAAAGTATAAGGTGTAAAACGAATATATAAAATTTGAAACAATACATAAAATATTTGCGCGTCCAATGGGTGTAATAGACCTTTTTACCGATACGGCAGCCATATTGAATTAATTCGATTTAAAGAGTATTATAGGATGCCCAGGGGGCGTGAACTCATTTCGTTTGTATTTTCGAGCACTTTTCCGGACATTTTTTCTTAAAGTTTTCCTAGAATATGTTTGTAATGTGAAAACAAGATCCTTGTGCCGTGTTTGGATGTAATAATGATCGCCTTTTCCTAGTTTAGTATTAGAAATATGGTCTTTCATCGTATATTTCTCGGGAAAAAGGCGATCATTATTACATCCAAACACGGCACAAAGATCTTTTTTTCCCATTGCAATCTTATTCTAAGAAAACTTTACGAAAAACTGTCACGAAAAGCGCTCGAAAATACAAACGATGTGCTCATGCCCCCTGGGCATCCTATAATACTCCTTAAATCGAATTAATTCAATATGGCCGCCGTATCGGTAAAAAGGTCTATTCCCAAGGTAAGAAACACAATAAGAGAAAAGTAAAAAATGTAAGAAAGTGTCACGTATATAGTTTGGCGCGAATGGAGTCGGGTTGCGTGTTAAGAGAAGGCTTGATGTCCTTTGTGTATAACATCTCGTAGACTAAGCAATCAAACTTGCTGTTCATTTCCTTAGAACTTTGAAAAGATGGTCAGTCTTTGTTCTGTTGTTGCCATGCTGTGTTTCAAGGTGTTTCCCGATGGCTGAATAACGGTGTTCACTTATGCGTTGAAGTAAGTGTCGGGCAGTGTACCCGACATAATTTGCATCGCACAAATCACATTGAAATTAGTATACAACGCATTGAGTGTTGACGATCGGGGGCTTGTTTTCCTTGACACTCAGGGTTTGTGACAGTTTTCTGCTTGTAAAAATGGGGTTTTACGTTAACATTGATCTTGGCTCCCAGAGAATAGATATCTTTGCGTACGCGATCAGCTGATCACTGATCTTTAAAGGGCAATACTATGTAAACAGATGGGTCTACCGAAGGCACGGTGTGTATTTCTTTATCTGGTTCCTGGCTGAACTTATTTACAAAGGAATCGACCAATGTTTTCGGCTAGCGCTGCTTTGTAAACATGGTGCGTAACTTGTTGTATTCTTCTGCAAAACCGTCTTTGGTGGAAGATAGACGGTACGCACGGTTAACTATCGTGTTGACTAGGCCTTTCTTGTATCTGCTGTCGACGTGGCTTTGGAAATGGAGTAGCAGTCCTGTGTCGGTTGGTTTAATTTTCTGTAGACTTCTGTTGTTAGAGTGCTACCACATCTTGTAAAACTGTACCGAGGAACGGAATAGATCCGTCATGTTCAAGTTTCATAGTGAAAGACAAGCTAACCACTTACAAGAAGTCAACAGAGATGAATTGCAATTGATTATTTTCAAATAAAAATACAATAATCTTGTCACGACACAAATAATAATCAGCTTTCTTTGATAAAGATAAACAACTATTGATAACCAACAGTTTATTTCCAATTTTAATGATAACAAGATCAGGTAAAAATTTAATGATAAAAGCTTAGCAAGACACAGATAGAAACAAAAGCAAAAGCTCTGAAACCACTGGGCTACACTTGTATGCTCTACTCAGTCACCAAAGTTGGTCTTTATGATCGAAGCTTCCAGACCAGCTGTCCCGGTGAAGCTTTGAAATTTTGTGCGAAATTCCCAAAGTTCCTATTTTTGTCTGTTTCTTTATCCTTATCCCAAATTTAGACCTCCAAAGTGGCGTGTGTTGCATTGAATAGAAGGAAATATTAAAATGAAAAGTCAGTCTTCTGACATGGCAAACTTGTCACTTCCCTCGCTCCATGGACGTCCATCTCTTAGCATCAGGATTCATCTGACATTCATGGACTGAGTTGTTCGCTTCGGTACAACAGCTTACAATCAAGTCTTCAGCTATAGTGTCATCAATTTGTATAATACTTTGTTCACAAACTATGGTTATTGATTAATTGCTCATGTACTACATCGATAGTTAATTATCTCTTTGAGTTCACGAAACGGCCCGTTCCAGAACTGACGTTCACAGTCATCTTTTAGTGTGAACCTACTGTGAACGGCGTGTACATAGATACATACAAACATACATTTATTTGATAAAGTGGGATAATAAAGTAGACAACTATATAGCTGATGTGAACCTGCTATCTAACTAAGACAATTTATAATACAACAATTGAATAAGAAATAAGTACTCTAGAGAAAATGTATGTATGAGTATGTATGCAACGTGACCATTTCTCTGATTTGGATTCCCAGCTCCAACATCACCAATTGACGTAAACTAGAACAGTGGCAAAAGTTATTAAAGTGAGGGAAGCGAGGTACAAAAAATATCCTTGAAAGATCATCGTTTCTCGGTAATAGACCCTCGTGTCTCTCCCCCCCCCCCGGGTGTACGTTTTTCTGCGGAACTGGGCTTGCCCCACAAACAGCTCAGTAAAGTTAGATAGAATAATGGAACATCCAATTTGCAGCTGGCTAAGAACACGCGCGGTCCACGTGCTGCGCGCGACGAGATTATAAACTCTCTTCGCTCGGAATTAGTATATTGCAAAATAATAGACTATAAGATTATTCAAAAAGTAATTCATAGTAATCTGGGGTCATTAAGTGGCAGCTTAGGCAAATAGGATCCTCACTTACACAAATGTGGTCTTCACTGTTATTTGGTGAGACAAAAAAAAAACAAACAAAAAAACAGACGACCTAGTAAAATAACAGATGTACAAGCAATATTTATTACATTGGGTCAAATATTTAAACGAAGTCTAACTTAAGCCGCTGTTTAACCAATCTTGGACCTCCAGTTCTCTTCTTTGGTGGGTTGTTTTAAGAAGATAAATGGTTTCTAATCTTTTCTATTTCCTTTCATAAAACTATTCGCAATAAATGTTGTTTGGATAAAATCGTTGGGCAAATGGAAAATGACTTAGAATACAGTTTTGTTAAACAATGCCTAAACTAAGTTTAAATATTTGGCCCATTGTAGTTAGGTATATACAAACGTGTGCCAATCTTGTAGTCTTAAACTGATAAAAACTGGGTAGATTTATTATATATTTCGGAAGATAACTCATACTCTTTTGTCTATAGTTTAGTTACTTAAATACCTTTCTTTATTTAGTGAAAGAATGAGAATATAGGATTTATGTGCGAATTTTGAATACCATAGAACCCTGGTTATAAACCTCTCCTCCCCCACCCCCCTCCGGTGGTAGGTCCATGTTCTACCTGTATCTACACCACCCAACACATCTGGTTATAGCCCTCACCGATCAGTAATAAGTGCTTCTCCAGTTTCTTTGAATGAATAAGATTTGTCACGATGTTTTGAAGGTTAAAAAATGTTATAAAAATCAAAACTTCTGTCAAGGGGAGTTAAATTGATCAGAAAGTATGTTTAGAAATGTTATTGTAGCAAAATTTGATTTTTCTTTGTTCTGCACGCGTGCGCTGTTTTCCGAGAATCTTCAACTTTAATTATAAAGTCTTATAGTAAATTGGTAAGTAAGTAATGAAACTACCCAAAAAATAATGCGCCCCCGTTTCGCCTACGAGTCGTTTCGCTATGGCCCGTTCGCCAACGTTGCAAATCGTTCCACTTGAAAATGAAACAAGCCCTACACATGTATTACCTAGTCTATGTACGGCGTTTTCCCAAGCCTTCTCGGTCAATGCATTTCGGTGTACACTTTTGCTCGGACCTCGTGACCGGAAACGCATTGACCGCATGGAAAAATGAGGCCTAGGGACTAGACAAACAGATGTATAAACCTCGTTCTTTCAGCCACGTCATGGAAAAGTTCCATACATACGCGTATACCTCGTTCTTTAAGCCACCGATAGTAACCGGTCATTTCGCCCCGGGTTATACTGAACTACCCATTTTCAAGTCATTTCGCGCGATTCAAATTGTGGCTAACTAGAGCTGGTCGCTTACGAGAATAAGCTCTGGTAAACGACCACATGCGGTAGCTTTTGAGAGCTTCAGAAACTCATCCATAATTCATAAAGAATTAAGACCTTTATCAAAGAACCATTAGCGCAGTGTGCAGTTTCATCAAAATGTTGATTTGGGAGTGGTCGTTTACTGGTGCTCAAAGACGAAGGAAAAGTCCTGTTGGGTAATCCAAAAAGCGGTCGCAGTCGTTTACGAGAGCTTTTCACAAAGGTGGTGGTAACTAGGGATGGTCACTTACGAGATTGGTCCTAAGGAGTACGTCAGTCATTGTAAGAAAGAAAAATATCGAAGAATAGAACTGAAACCGAAACTGTAAATGTAATAGACCAGGAACTCTATGAGTTATAAGCTCCTGGATAGACTGAAATATTTAACCATCGACAAATATAGAAAATGACGACAAAATCCTTGAACCTACCTTTTGGTCCAAGTCATGGTATGGCTGAAACTACGATTAAGTGCTTCTAAATCCGAGTACTAGCCAAGGTATAAAATTTCAAAGGTTCCTCTTAGTTTAGGGCTGGGTCTTTTAATCGCAAACATTGTTACCGAGGCGTAGTGATGAAATTTGCGTGAAGGGGCATTGGGGGGTTTAGTTTTAGTGACCAATAGACAAGTAAACTTCTTTTAATCTATGACAACTCGATTGAATGATGAGTGCATTTATTTGCAGATAATCAATATTAGTGTTATGATGTTTAAGAATGAACAAAGTATTTCTTCTTCAGAATCTTTATATTAAGGCCAGAAGTCTGGGAAGGAGCATTTGCTACTCCATTTGCTGCCAGCGGGGAAACTTTGACCATTTGATTACCGTTTCTGTCGCGCCACTGGTTCCACGGGTTCTTCTTTTTGCAGTACTTTTGGTCAAAATCTCCTTTTACAACGTTTGTTGCAAATGCATTTGGTATGTTCCCGGGCGGTTCATATATTGCAACAATGTACACACACCGTTGATTATTGGCCTTGGTTCCTTCAGCTCTCGCAATGCCAAGCTTCGTAGTTTGTTTCCATACCATTTGAGTAAAATGGGAAGTTGCTCCAAAGGCAGGAGTGATGGAAGGAATTGAAGGAAAGGAGGGACCAGAGGGAAAAGAAGGACCAGACGGAAAGGAAGGGCCAAAGAATCGTGGTCCTTTACCAAAAGGGGCAGTGTTTCTTTTCCGTCGTCCTTGCCATCCTCCTCCCCATCCTCCTCCCCATCCTCCTCCCCATCCTCCTCCCCATCCTCCTCCCCATCCTCCACCACCCCACCCCCCGCCTCCTACGACTCCTGGCCCTCCTGCTGTTCCTCCGTTGTTGAATTTATAATTGCAGACCTCGTCATACCTAAAGAAACACAAGTTAAAATAATCCTATTAACTGTTTTTTGGGCGCAATAAAAACATTGTGTTTCTCCTCACTCGTTTTGCTTTTTCAACTAAAAGGCGACGGGAGAGAGATAAAGTCCTGGACACGTGACCATTTTGGCTCAATAGCCCTTATGCATGTTTACGTCACACAAGCAAATTTCACCACCAAGCCTCGTTTTGAAATTAAAAATAAGCGAAGTTTCACAGAAATGAATTCCCAAGGCAGTATAGTTGAAAAGAATACCCACGCACAAAAAGTGCAAATGCAAAAAATTTTGTTCACAAACGAGGCTTGTTGGTGAAATTTACTCGTCTGATGTAATCATGCATAGGGGCTATTACGACTGCTTTATACATTTACAACACGTCGTGGTATATTTACGAATTATTGTGGTTTGTAACCTTACTACTTCGATACTTTTACTCCACTAAACACTAAGTGTATTTTTAGGGGAAAACGCTTTGAGATCTTAAGCGATTAGAAGATTATAACTCACCGTTTTGCAATAGATGTAAAAACAAATAAACAAACAAGCAAAGAAATGTATCCAACACTCTCCCTTCTCACTCGTCTCCAGCAGCCCCAAACTCTCCACCCAACTTTAGAAAAGCCTTGCATTGAATTTTCGAAATGCCATACTATTTGTTTGTTTGGTTGTTTGTTTGTTTCTTAAATTCGATTTTTATGACGCCAAATATACCAGGCATTTATTACAGTAATTGACTAACCATCGCGTAAGAATTTGTTCCATGCTGCTTCCACCATTCGTAGAACAAAAGCTTTCAGATATTACGTTTTTCCCTTGAAGTGAGGGAGCATTTTGTCCTGAGCATTTCAGTTTGTTCACAAATTCCTGGGCTTTGTTACACAATGTTTTGTCTAATTTCATCATCGGAGCCTTGTGAATTTTACGATATTTATTATGAATGTTCAAGGCAGTTGTCTGGTCTTGAGAAAAACCTGAGAAACAAACACTTTAAGTTTAAAAGAGGAAGCTACACCAAGATTGCATGCCTCTAAATAATTCAACGCAGATTCGATTCCTACATGCGCATATTCACACTCACTTTACTTCATTCATGACTACACTCTGACCATGACGGCCACTTCTTGACAACGGCAAGAGCCACTTATCTCACAAACGATGTCCTCCTTCTTAAAAACGTCCATTTCAGTGAACAAGCTAAGCTGAGGTGTATGTCAACAGTTGGTCATGTACCCCTTTCTTCAATTTTGGGGTTCGATGTTTTACAATACTGCAAGTAATTTATAGTTGTGCAAATAGAGGTAATTGTTGTTTCTAATTGACCATTTTACAGTTGTGAGCTTGATATACCAACCTTTGAGTGAACATGAGGCTAAGGTTTACCTTGTTTTGATAGAGAACGTGGAACCATGTCTTATGGAAATTATGCTTAAAAAAATACCAGTTAGCATAGGAACAACATGATTTAAATAATAAAACAGCAAGGTCAACTCCAGCTGCGTTTCCACCTGTAACTGTAAAATGGTATATTCTATTGTTGACATTATTCCCCTACCACTTGGTTGGCTCCATAAAATCTAAATTGTACCTGATCTAGAGCTTGAACCTAAGCCACTTGTGGGACCTGTTCTTGGTGCAAACGTCGTGGAAAAGGTTGGACCGCTCCGAATGCCCGTAGATGACGAGACAGTTGGCGGGATGGCTGGATCTGCATTGCCTCCTTTGGCAGGTTTCATTTCCAAGTTTGTTACCATAGCACCATCGGGTTGAAAAGCCACATTTCCATTGACCCGGTAACTTCCTGGTTTTAAACCTTGTCCACTGACTTAAAAGGTGACGCATTTGAAGGGAAAATATGTAATGATAATTTGACATCTATTACACCTGGCAAGATGATGTATAGGGGGAGCAGTACTCAAGAGCAGTAAAAAAGAAGTGTAGTTAACTTAAGCCATTCCGCTCGCCCCGTTAGGGAATCCGGGCATTTTTTGCTTGTGGAATTTGGAATCCTGAGCTTTGGATTCCAGAATAAAGCTCAAGGAAACCGAAATGTAACGATCGACTGGATTATCCAGATTCCAAGTTCCACTGAGAAAGACTGGAATCAGAAATCCGCAGTGTGGCATCCAGAATCCAAGACCTATCTTGGATTACCTTACAGAATGTAGATGGGGCTAATTCGGCAGCCTAGATTGTTTATCCCCAATATTATTGTCAATTGTTAATATCTTGCTCTTTTATTACTTACTGGCACAAATAAAGCATATCTCCAATAATACGAACCAATTGTCCTTTGCATAACGCCTGCCAAGCAAACAAATATTAAAATGATCTTAAATTTTACCATATCTTTTTACCAAATGTGTTAACAAGAGGGCGGTTACGATCTGTAACTGTATATTTTTACTTTTTTTTGTGCTCAACAAGTATCCATGAATCTTATCTGATCGTCCTTCTGTGCGTTCTAAAGTAAGATAGCCAACGCTGGTTTTCTCATGACATACTACAATGTAGCACCTGCTCTTTCTTGTAATACAAGAAATGGAACAAGTTACACTGCACATAATCCTGTGAAAAATTTGTGTCAAAGCTTCACTCTTTTGCTAAGAAAACTCAACGAAGCAAAAAATTGAACGTCTATATGCGTGCAATGCCCTTCCATTTGTACAAAAGGTTCCCACTTGGAGACCTTAATGGACGACGTGTATAATGTGCAATACCCTTCCATTTGGATTACTTTTGTTCCCTCTTGCTCAACCTTGGTTAGAATCACGAGAAATTACCTTTTGCATGCTTAATCCAATCTATTTCAAGAGAGGTAAAAACAAAATCAAACAGAAAATGAAACAAACAAAACAGGAGTCCATAGACCCCAGGTGTGACTCGCGGAGCCAGTCCCGTGAGACCAGTATTGATTGCATCGTATTTATTTTTTTGTGGGCCATATTTTCTAAATGTTCTAATAATCGCGTTACAGTACATTAGGTTTTCGTTACTCACATGTCGTCCGTTTTTCGTCCACCTTGTTATTATTATTCGTAGATTAAACAAATCTCTTCTTCTTTAGCCGAACGAGTATCGGAGAGTAACAATGATCAGCCAGTGGAAAGAGATTGAGTTCCTTAATTATTTTACAGCGAAATCTCTGTCAGAGATATTTGGTAGCTAGCCACGCCCAATTAGCACCATTTGTACCGTGAATCGAACTTGTCAATAACTGTGGGGAACAGAAATTGCAGCAGAAGACAGGGCAAAAAAAAAAAAAAAAAAAAAATGACTCATAAGTTTCCTTGTATATCGTATTCGTGTCTGTACTTCGTTGGATAAAAAAAGGCCTAAAATGTTTGCTTGCAGAGATAAAGATTAAGCGATTGCTAAACAATTACAATTCATTTTTAATTACTTCCACCCACAGTATTTCGTTAAGCAAGTTCATTTCTTACTCAACCGGAAGCTTAAAAAGAAAAACATATCAGAGCTTAGTTCTTTCTATCCCTCGTCAAAGAACATTATTTATAAGTTTCTTACTTGCACTAATAAAGGAAATACTGACTTTTTGATCTTTAACACTGGATCATTGGGGTGATATACAAATCGCTTTAGTGTGTCGGAGCGAGCTCTGAATCTTAAAGGGAATAGAAAATAAGCCCACCAGTCATTAACTTGTGGTATAATAAATTTTAGAAATAATGGATAGATCAAGATTCCTTTTGTGGTAAGACGTACAACCACAGCTAACCACAAAGAAGGTTACCGTCATTTAAAAGTTTCATTTCTCTTATTAAGTGTTAGCTGGCCCATAGGCATTCTTTTTCGTGGGAGGGTGGGGGAACGGGAATCCAATTCGAGGACTCCAACGCGAATATGGCCCGTTAATACATCAACAGCTTACTTTCACAGTACACGTCCGCCATGCCCTCATGTAGTCACAAGCCTAAAATCGTCGTGTCCTATAGACGCCCGTTTGAGCCAGCTATGATGTTATATCCCTCCCTCCCCCATGCAAAAGAGTGAATGTCTAGGCGACAAATGGCTGACTAAACCATAGCAATTTTGTGATGTATCTGTCGAAATTCTTTCACTGGAGATTACTTAGCCAAAGAAATTGTCACAGTTTATTGAGTCTCGTCGAGTCTTTTTTCTATCAATTGATAGCCCGTGACTCCACCACAGCTACAGGATAATAAAATCACAATTTCCATCATTTAAACGATCTTTTTATTAATTTTGCCCCTTGAAATAAATTCTTTATCACGTTATTTTACTCATCACAAATAGCTTATTTAATTCCGACACACTTAGCTATACTATACTATAACCCCTATTTCGTTTAACGTCATTGTCCATTTATAGTTAGGCTTCTTAAATCTTAAAGAAAACCACATTTTCGTATCATTTCATACAACATTTTCTGCGCCTTCCTTAAAATACCGACAAAACCTAGGTATAACTGAGAAATATTCCAAGGACTCTTTCTAAATAGAACCATTCACAGGTACTCATGTACGCAAATGGTTACGAAGATCACGAGGAGAGAGAAGGTGTGACGGAGGTCGACGATGTTTTTGCAATGAAACTGCTTTGTAGCTCTCTTTGTGCTTCAACTCGTTTCGCTTATCCCAAGAGACTTCGTGAAGGCGGGCTAAGTCTGACAGCGCAGGTTCGATGCCAGTCTGGCAGTAGTCTGCATTGAATTTCCCCTTCTTGACGTTCATCTTCAGTCTTTGTCCCCCAATAATGTTACCTGCAGGCTTGTAACGTCCTACAACGTAGACGCATTCGTATCCGGGAATTTCAGGATTCTTTCCCACGGCGTGACCGATCCCCAGGTTTTTACTTCCTGACCACACTACCTCGGTAAAATGGCCAGTTTTGGGAACAGCTTTGGGATCGTCAAAATTGTACTGACATACTTCGTCGTACCTGCAAAAATAAAGCATGGTGTCTGCGACTACCAGTGTTCACTCAGTTATATAATTCTAGTCATTATCATTGTGGTCTTTCTCGTTATCATTAGCTTATTTTTACTGGTGACACTGGTCCTGTTTGGTTTTTTGTTTCCTCAAGCAGTAATCCGATGATATCAAAAGAATAGTACTTGACCGCCCATCGCAATCGATAATAATGGCCATGCACAGTGTCATTATAAGGCAGATTTTTCTTTCTTCTGTATTTGAAACACCTGTTATTTTTTTCAGCTATAGTTTGTTTTTTAGTTTATTCAGACGTTGGGTCATACCACCTTAGCTGCAGCGCATTCTCGTTAATCTAAAGGACTGTTTATGACCTGGTACCTTTGGACTTGAACGAGCTTATTAACCGGTAAACAGTTTCCTTCCACTTGCGAATATGTCTTTGGATTCTCAGTAGTTTCGAATAGTGTTTTCACTCACGTGGCCAGCATCTATGCAAATGTTGTGGAACAAAAGAAATCATTTGCATAAGAAAAGAGTTCATCTCCTACAGGACTGGTTTGGGACACCAACATGGCCGCCGTTTCATTGTTTTGGGACGCCAATATGGCCGACGTGACGTCATGTGAAAACACTCTATGGGCCACTTTCGAAATATGACATTAAAATTCAGCATGATAGGGAGTCTTGGAGGACTCAAAGAAAATGATGAAACCATGTTTATTCATTTTCTTTGTTTGTGTTCTCGAGCTCGAAGACTCGCTATCATGCTGAATTGTAATATAACGAAAATGGCCTATTTTCCACTGATTTTTGTCGATAAGAGTTTTAAAAATATCTGAAAGTAAATCATCAGAAGACAATAAAATCAAACTCTGACTTATTGAAAAAAAAAAAACGAAAAAGAAAAACGATATTATGGAAAACCTCTTACCAATGTTTAGCAACGTTCTTTGCCATTTTTATTATCTTGCCGTAACTCAGAGGCCCATCTCGAACAGGTGCACAGGACATTCCGATGTTTTCACCAAGACTTTTTTTGGCAAGTATTTGACTTGACTGATGTTTCAGAACTCCTTTGAAGGCGATGTCTTCAGCATACTTTTGGGCATCACATATCATTTGGTCATCAAGGTGCAAATCAGGAGAGCCGTGAGTACGGCGGTAAGCATTGTGGGACCTCAGCACCTCATTGGCAACAATTTTAATGTTCACTGAAATGATAACAAGGGAAAATAAATAAATTAACAGTTACTGGACGAGGTTGAGCAAAATACCGCGTTTTGTCAGTGGGGAGCAGATCAATTATTTGCCGAAGCCGAAGGTTATGATGAGCCACTGACAAATCGCGATATTTGCGATAACAAGTTCAATGTAATTGTTTTATCATTCATTCACTGAGTTTGTCTTTTTTGATAAATGTCTTCGGGAAGCTGCCATTTTCACGCAAGAGCGATGGGAAGCGTGGTTTCATTTACGCATGAGCAGAATATATTATTTGCAGCCCAACACAGTTGGACGACATTGCGCATGATTAGACAATTATTTGTAGGCAGCTATTTGCAGGTCACGTGGTGGG